ATCGCTTGTTGTTTCAACTCCTCATACTTTTCCTTCTCCCTCGCGTCCGCCTGATCAATCAGGTCTTGCGACACTGTGGGATAAGTCAGCTGCTTCACTGGAGTTTGCGGACTGCTCATTAGAGCTTCCACTCGCTTTGCAGCACTCCATGGATTCGTTTCTTCTGCAGCCATGACCCCGGTTACCATCCCCGGATCCACAACCGCCGTTCCCCACTGAGGCACCATTCCCGTAGGTGGCACTCCAGCACACATGGATTGCTGGGACATCCCAGCTACTTGTGAACTCTGTGCCCCACCAGTTGCGGTATACACCACAGGTGCTCCCGCTGGCTGGTAAATCACAGGTAGACCTGTTGGCGCCGCTGGCACCATTTGTTTTACGCGTGCATCTTCAGGAGATTCAACAGGTGAACGTCCCGGTCGCTCCAAAAGAGCAACTGTTTCTACAACAGCAGCCGCACCTCCACCCACTTCAGTTGAGCTTTGGTGTTTTCCACCCTGTCTTTCTTCTCGATTACCCACAACAGGTGGTTCACGAGATCCCTCGGACATCCGGGCAACTACTGGAGTCTGCGCGATTGGTACTCCCGAAAGAGTTAGACTATTCACCCCTGGGGTCAAACCAGACAACAAATCACCATTCCCTTTTCCTCGTACCACTACAAGTCCAGGAGGTTCTTCAGGCGGCAAGGACACTGGTCTTGCGACTTCTTCCGCAACAGCCGGATTCTGGGCAATTTGTTCGCCCGCTCCAGCTCGGACCGCCACAACCTGCGCTAGGGCTCCACTTCCCCCAGCACCGGTCAGTGCCATTCCCCTTTCTCCAACTCCCTTTCCCGTCAGTATCTTCGGGTCGAGTCTGATGATCTTGTCCCTGTTTTTTCCCCATGTTCTTTTCCAGGTGTGTTCATCTCTTCCAGAAGCCGATCCAGCTTTTCATCTGCCGTTTCCGCGCATTCTTCTTCAGCACGAGCAGCCGCTTGAACTTGGCGTTCTTGTCGACGACGCTGAGTGAGGTTGGGCTCATAACCCATGTAGACCCATGTAGACCCAGGCAGGACAGGAAAGAGGATCACAACTCTACGTGGAAAGACACAGAGTTGTCCCAGGGCAGAAGGCAAAGCCACCAGGAAAGACATCAGAGTTGTCCCAGGACAGGAGGCAAAACCACCAGGAAAGACATCAGAGTTCTCCCAGGACAGGAGGCAAAACTACCAGGAAACACATCAGAGTTGTCCCAGGACAGGAGGCAAAACCACCAGGAAAGACATCAGAGTTGTCCGCGGACAGGAGGCAAAACCACCAGGAAAGACATCAGAGTTGCCCCAGGACAGGAGGCAAAACCACCAGGAAAGACATCAGAGTTGTCCCAAGACAGAAGGCAAAACCATCAGGAAAGACATCAGAGTTGTCCCAGGACAGGAGGCAAAACCACCAGGAAAGACATCAGAGTTGTCCCAGGACAGGAGGCAAAACCACCAGGAAACACATCAGAGTTGTCCCAGGACAGGAGGCAAAACCACCAGGAAAGACATCAGAGCTGTCCCAGGGCAGGAGGCAAAACCACCAGGAAAGACATCAGAGTTGTCCCAGGACAGGAGGCAAAACCACCAGGAAAGACATCAGAGCTGTCCCAGGACAGGAGGCAAAACCACCAGGAAAGACATCAGAGTTGTCCCAGGACAGGAGGCAAAACCACCAGGAAAGACATCAGAGTTGTCCCAGGACAGGAGGCAAAACCACCAGGAAAGACATCAGAGTTGTCCCAGGACAGGAGGCAAAACCACCAGGAAAGACATCAGAGTTGTCCCAGGACAGGAGGCAAAACCACCAGGAAAGACATCAGAGTTGTCCCAGACAGAAGGCAAAACCACCAGGAGGTCCCGGACAGTCAGAGTTGTCCCAATCAGAGTTGTCCCAGGACAGGAGGCAAAACCACCAGGAAAGACATCAGAGCTGTCCCAGGACAGGAGGCAAAACCACCAGGAAAGACATCAGAGTTGTCCCAGGACAGGAGGCAAAACCACCAGGAAAGACATCAGAGTTGTCCCAGGACAGGAGGCAAAACCACCAGGAAACACATCAGAGTTGCCCCAAGACAGAAGGCAAAACCACCAGGAAAGACATCAGAGTTGTCCCAGTACAGGAGGCAAAACCACCAGGAAAGACATCAGAGTTGTCCCAGGACAGGAGGCAAAACCACCAGGAAAGACATCAGAGTTGTCCCAGGACAGGAGGCAAAACCACCAGGAAAGACATCAGAGTTGCCCCAGGACAGGAGGCAAAACCACCAGGAAAGACATCAGAGTTGCCCCAGGACAGGAGGCAAAACCGCCAGGAAAGACATCAGAGTTGTCCCAGGACAGGAGGCAAAACCGCCAGGAAAGACATCAGAGTTGTCCCAGACAGGAGGCAAAACCACCAGGAAAGACATCAGAGTTGTCCGCGGACAGGAGGCAAAACCACCAGGAAAGACATCAGAGTTGTCCCAGGACAGAAGGCAAAACCACCAGGAAAGGCATCAGAGTTGTCCCAGGACAGGAGGCAAAACCACCAGGAAAGACATCAGAGTTGTCCCAGGACAGGAGGCAAAACCACCAGGAAAGACATCAGAGTTGCCCCAAGACAGAAGGCAAAACCACCAGGAAAGACATCAGAGTTGTCCCAGGACAGGAAGCAAAACCACCAGGAAAGACATCAGAGTTGTCCCAGGACAGGACAGGAGGCAAAACCCACCAGGAAAGACATCAGAGTTGTCCCAAGACAGAAGGCAAAACCACCAGGAAAGACATCAGAGTTGTCCCAGGACAGGAGGCAAAACCACCAGGAAAGACATCAGAGTTGTCCCAAGACAAGGCAAAACCACCAGGAAAGACATCAGAGTTGCCCCGGGACAGGAGGCAAAACCACCAGGAAAGACATCAGAGTTGTCCCAGGACAGGAGGCAAAACCACCAGGAAAGACATCAGAGTTGTCCCAGGACAGGAGGCAAAACCACCAGGAAAGACATCAGAGTTGTCCCAGGACAGGAGGCAAAACCACCAGGAAAGACATCAGAGTTATCCCAAGACAGGATGCAAAACCACCAGGAAAGACATCAGAGTTGTCCCAGGACAGGAGGCAAAACCACCAGGGAAGACATCAGAGTTGTCCCAGGACAGGAGGCAAAACCACCAGGAAAGACATCAGAGTTGTCCCAAGGCAGAAGGCAAAGCCACCAGGAAAGACATCAGAGTTGTCCCAGGACAGGAGGCAAAACCACCAGGAAAGACATCAGAGCTGTCCCAGGACAGGAGGCAAAACCACCAGGAAAGACATCAGAGTTGTCCCAGGACAGGAGGCAAAACCACCAGGAAAGACATCAGAGTTATCCCAAGGCAGGAGGCAAAACCACCAGGAAAGACATCAGCCCAAGACAGGAGGCAAAACCACCAGGAAAGACATCAGAGTTGTCCCAGGGCAGGAGGCAAAACCACCAGGAAAGACATCAGAGTTATCCCAAGACAGGAGGCAAAACCACCAGGAAAGACATCAGAGTTGTCCCAAGACAGGAGGCAAAACCACCAGGAAAGACATCAGAGTTATCCCAAGACAGGAGGCAAAACCACCAGGAAAGACATCAGAGTTATCCCAAGACAGGAGGCAAAAAAGCAGAAAAGCTGCTTTTGTAAACCAGAAAAGTTGTTTTTGTAACATATTGAGAAGGTAAAAATTGTGCATATGTGCTGAATAATTTGATTTATTTGAAAACTATTTCTGTCCAAAATTCTGTCCACAACCAATGTTAGAACATTCAGTGGATCATTTTCAAGGTATTGCAATGAATTTTTACTGCATTTTTTAAATTATGTTTGTCAAAATATGTTGAAAAATGAGATTTCTATCCATATATTCTGCCCACAGTCAGTTTTAAAACATTCAGTGGTTCATTTCAAGGTATTGCAATGATTTTTTTAAAGATTTGAATGCGATTTAAGGGACATAGATGGCGCAACTCATTTTTTAACCCACCGATTTTTTCTGGCGTTTGAATGAGATTTAAGGGACATAGATGGCGCAACTCATGTTCAAGGTAGTGCGATGATTTTTTTTTGACGATTTGAGTGCGATTTAAGGGACATAGATGGCGCAACTCATTTTTGAACCCATCGAAAAAGAAATTTCTGGCGTTTGAATGGGATTTAAGGGACATAGATGACATAGATGGCGCAACTCATTTTTAGGATAAAAAATCTAGGGGAATTACATAAATATATATATATGTCATATATGTATATACAATATATTTACAATACAAACATGTGCAATCTACAGTATAAACAAGCAAAAATGATCGGAAATGTAGTAAAATTAGTTAACAATACCCTTATGTCCATCTACTGGAGTGGCAGTTGCGCCATCTACCTTTTCATTTTAAAGTAGGACGTTTTTTTTTTCAACTGGCGGAACTCGTTTTATGTTCCAGCTAAAATAGCGCCGTTTTCTTTCTCACCCCGCGGTGCCATCTTATGGGTATTTGGGTTTTCGAGTTGAGCCATCTACTTTTAGAGGGGTCCAAGCACGGATTTCTTTCTTTTGTCACTTCAATTCCGTTCCTCTTGTTCTTTGAGAGGAATTGCAGTATTTGGCAGAGGATCCGAGCGTCAGTCGAGTTGTGGTTTATGTTGGTTTCCTTGAGATCTCAAGAACGTCGTGAATATATGCAAGAACAAATTTCTGCAATGGTCATGGTTTCAAGTTCAGAGTATACCTTTACTTGTCCATCCATGCCTGGGATGTGTAACCCCAAATTGCATCAGAAAAGAACACCCAATGATAAACATTAAGAAACCATCTCTGGGTGTTTTGGTGAGATTGAGTACTCCAAGTAATGTGGTAAACTCAATAGTAAAACCATCCAACTCACCAACCATTGGGGGGTCATGTATGGTAATGTTTGATCATCCCAGATAGAGGTATACCATGGTATACCCAATGTCATAAGCCCAAGTTTGGATGGTGTATGGCTTTGGGTTTTCCATATTTATGTTTGGCATGACTTTGCCAATCAAACATCTTGGCCAAGTCTGCCTTCGGCATCCTGCGGGCTAGGAACTTGGGGAATCTCGACATCACGTGGCCCGTTTGGAATACGAGATGAAGTGGATGGTCGAGGCAGCTGTAGCAGTTGTGGCTTGATGGGCCGCGTTTGATGTCTCAGGAATGGTTTGATTACCTGGATTCAACCATGAAAAATTGATGAAAAATGGTTATATGATAAGGATTTAATCTGATTTGTCAATTTCATATCTTGAGTTCATCGAAGTTTATTAGTCGATTTGGGCATTTGTTGCGTCTAGTCGTGCTTGTCGTTGTTCTTGAGCAGCATCCTTATGTGTCCCATCATGAAAATCCCGATTCTCTGATACAGTATGTCCTGATATGAGACTGCATTGTGGAAGAAGCGCGGTATTGCATTTCATTGTAATACTATCAAAGTGTATTGTATCAATACATACATATACATATATATATATATGAATTATATACATTGGACGTTGATTATCATTGGTTGATTTGTTTTTATCCTGTGATATGCATGAAACAAGATCCCGATCACCACATTAAAGTTTTAAAGCTTTGAATCCTTTGCGCAGCGCCAGGAAGCGGAGGAAGCGGACCAACTCCTGTGGGCGGATGATCCCGCGGCGGATGCCACACGAACAACAGAGGTTTCCTGGTGGCGGCTACCACGATCCCAAAAAAACACCCAGTGATATTGACAATGGGTTGATGATGGTTGATGATGATTGATGAATTGATGGATTGATTGATCCCTTCCTTCCTTTTTTTAAGGCTCCCCATGACATCAATCATCATCCATGGCTAATTGATCACCATCCCAGGAATGGATGTCCATGAAGGGTCATGAAGGTACCTGGTACCCTCAACTCCACCCAAAAACATACAGAGAATCGAATTAATTCATATTAATTCCATATGAGTAGCCGACAAAATTAGCGGAAGGCGAAAGTAGTGGGAAGTGGACGCGGGATATGCAAATTTGTGCGAAAACATTCACAACTGATAGGGGGCCACCCAGTTTGGCCATGTCCATTGCGGGTAGCAAGTAATTTTTTCCGCCACTCATATTGGTGATAGAACATGACAACCCATCAGCTGTCATGATCTGTCATGGCCAGGTCAACATCATTTAATCATGTTTAATCATAAATTCAATTAAACATTGGTAAACTATGGTAAAACTCTCACAATCCACTGGCCAATCCATTCGGGACGACATTTCGGGATTCACACTGCTCAAAGTTGCGCTCAAATGGCAGGCTTGGGGTTTTTCCACCGTGCGCTGGGCAGATGACGAGGCTCTTTTTTGATCCGTTCGATAGTTGGATGTTTCTTTTGAACTTTTGCTGGTCTTAGGAATGGTTTGATTACCTGGATTCAACCATGAAAAATTGATGAAAAATGGTTATATGATAAGGATTTAATCTGATTTGTCAATTTCATATCTTGAGTTCATCGAAGTTTATTAGTCGATTTGGGCATTTGTTGCGTCTAGTCGTGCTTGTCGTTGTTCTTGAGCAGCATCCTTATGTGTCCCATCATGAAAATCCCGATTCTCTGATACAGTATGTCCTGATATGAGACTGCATTGTGGAAGAAGCGCGGTATTGCATTTCATTGTAATACTATCAAAGTGTATTGTATCAATACATACATACACATATATATATATGAATTATATACATTGGACGTTGATTATCATTGGTTGATTTGTTTTTATCCTGTGATATGCATGAAACAAGATCCCGATCACCACATTAAAGTTTTAAAGCTTTGAATCCTTTGCGCAGCGCCAGGAAGCGGAGGAAGCGGACCAACTCCTGTGGGCGGATGATCCCGCGGCGGATGCCACACGAACAACAGAGGTTTCCTGGTGGCGGCTACCACGATCCCAAAAAAACACCCAGTGATATTGACAATGGGTTGATGATGATTGATGGATTGATTGATCCCTTCCTTTTTTTAAGGCTCCCCATGACATCAATCATCATCCATGGCTAATTGGTCACCATCCCAGGAATGGATGTCCATGAAGGGTCATGAAGGTACCTGGTACCCTCAACTCCACCCAAAAACATACAGAGAATCGAATTATTTCATATTAATTCCATATGAGTAGCCGACAAAGTTAGCGGAAGGCTAAAGTAGTGGGAAGTGGACGCGGGATATTCAATTTTGTGCGAAAACATTCACAACTGATAGGGGGCCACCCAGTTTGGCCATGTCCATTGCGGGTAGTAAGTAATTTTATCCGCCACTCATATTGGTGATAGAACATGACAACCCATCAGCTGTCATGATCTGTCATGGGCAGGTCAACATCATTTAATCATGTTTAATCATAAATTTAATTAAACATTGGTAAACTTTGGTAAAACTCTCACAATCCACTGGCCAATCCATTCGGGACGAAATTTCGGGATTCACACTGCTCAAAGTTGCGCTCAAATGGCAGGTTTGGGGTTTTGCCACGGCTCGCTGGGCAGACGATGCAGACGATGACGAGGCTCTTTTTTGATCCGTTCGATAGTTGGATGTTTCTTTTGAACTTTTGCTGGTCTTAGGAATGGTTTGATTACCTGGATTCAACCATGAAAAATTGATGAAAAATGGTCATATGATAAGGATTTAATCTGATTTATCAGTTTCATATATTGAGTTCATCGAAGTTTATTAGTCGATTTATGTCGATTTGGGCATTTGCTGCGTCTAGTCGTGATTGTCGTTGTTCTTGAGCAGCATCCTTATGTGTCCCATCATGAAAATCCCGATTCTCTGATACAGTATGTCCTGATATGAGACTGCATTGTGGAAGAAGCGCGGTATTGCATTTCATTGTAATACTATCAAAGTGTATTGTATCAATACATACATACACATATATATATATGAATTATATACATTGGACGTTGATTATCATTGGTTGATTTGTTTTTATCCTGTGATATGCATGAAACAAGATCCCGATCACCACATTAAAGTTTTAAAGCTTTGAATCCTTTGCGCAGCGCCAGGAAGCGGAGGAAGCGGACCAACTCCTGTGGGCGGATGATCCCGCGGCGGATGCCACACGAACAACAGAGGTTTCCTGGTGGCGGCTACCACGATCCCAAAAAAACACCCAGTGATATTGACAATGGGTTGATGATGGTTGATGATGATTGATGAATTGATGGATTGATTGATCCCTTCCTTCCTTTTTTTAAGGCTCCCCATGACATCAATCATCATCCATGGCTAATTGATCACCATCCCAGGAATGGATGTCCATGAAGGGTCATGAAGGTACCTGGTACCCTCAACTCCACCCAAAAACATACAGAGAATCGAATTAATTCATATTAATTCCATATGAGTAGCCGACAAAATTAGCGGAAGGCTAAAGTAGTGGGAAGTGGACGCGGGATATTCAATTTTGTGCGAAAACATTCACAACTGATAGGGGGCCACCCAGTTTGGCCATGTCCATTGCGGGTAGTAAGTAATTTTATCCGCCACTCATATTGGTGATAGAACATGACAACCCATCAGCTGTCATGACCTGTCATGGCCAGGTCAACATCATTTAATCATGTTTAATCATAAATTTAATTAAACATTGGTAAACTATGGTAAAACTCTCACAATCCACTGGCCAATCCATTCGGGACGAAATTTCGGGATTCACACTGCTCAAAGTTGCGCTCAAATGGCAGGTTTGGGGTTTTTCCACCGAGCGCTGGGCAGACGATGACGAGTCTGATGACGAGGCTCTTTTTTGATCCGTTCGATAGTTGGATGTTTCTTTTGAACTTTTGATAAGTTTTCATACTGTGGATGGTTGCGAAATCCTGCAGTTGGGTACCATTGGTAATTATGAAACATTGTACCTAATGGGATAAGGGGACAAACGATCTACCAACTGGCGCAGGATTTTTGCAACCATCCACAGTAAATTGGGAGATAACTGATGTAATCCTATAGCTATGGTGAAACATACCCACTTATACGCGGAACTGCGCCCCCAAGTGGGGAGATTCAGCACCACAACAGGGAGATTTGTTGAACTAAGACAGCATGGGAGGTTTCGCTAACTAAATGGGTATCAAGACAATGAACAAATAGGTAGTAACATTTAAAACATGATATCACCAACACGTTTGTTTGCAGAGATATGTTTAGGCTTAAATAATTAGTTTCACATTGGTTCATTTTCTTCAATCGCTCACACTTAACATAAACATGTTTGGGATATGTTGGATTGGTTGGTCAGTCACCATTTAGCTTACGAAGATGAGTGATGCGTGCAATTCTTTAGTTGGCGGTTGGTTTGGTTTCTGACAAATATACAGATACATACCAAAAAATATAACAAAACAAAATAAACATCAAAAACATGTATGTGGATATATATATATACATATACATACAATGTGGGGCCCCTTAGATAGCTAAGTTGGCTTATAACTTCAATGACTATGGTTTATGATACCTATAGCTATAGTTAATGGGTGTATAAACCAACTTCCCACTGGGGGGGCCCACATTGTATGAGATACGGTCAAACTAGGCGTAGACTACTTTAGCAAGGGAGGGTCCAGTTGTGTCCAGAAAGTGCACCAAACCAAGCGATAGGCCACCCCCCAAAAACCGATAACTTGTAACCATATGAGAGTGCATTAAACTTGGTGTAAAGCAAGAACATATTGTTGTGCACCTTCACTCGATGGGCAAAATTGATGAAGAAAAGTCAACTTGCAGCGATGTCATTTGTTGTCCAAGGTGATTGAACCGTTTTTTTCTCCCAGGTCCCAAAGCAGTAGAATTAAACTAAACTAAATGACTAAACTCAATTGAATGCTGAAGTAAATCAAAAATAGTATTAAATCAATTTTGAATTCCGTTTATGTGCCGTATAATTTAATTTGAAGTTCTTCTTCCTTTGTTTCCTTTTTTTCTTACCATCCTTTTTTCTTTTACTTTCCTTTTAAGGCTAAACACAATTGAATTCTGAAGTGAATCCAATTCTGAATTCCATCTATTTCATTTTTCCCTTTTTGTTTCATTTGTCCTTTCATTTCCTCTTCAGCGATAACCTAGCCAAACCTTATGTTGAAAAAGGGACTCCGGATGAGGGATAGACTCATTTGACCACAGCAATATCCTTTTTCGTTTTCATAGAATTATTGATCTTATATTGGTTACTGTCATTCTAGTTTGCAGTTGAGATTGTAATAAATGTCCTTGCTTAGGAAATAGTCTAGGAATGTGCTTTGGTAGCTCCCCAACATGGTTGCAAACGCAAAGACAACGAGCGCCCCCTTGATCCATCCCCGACTGTTTTGAAATCTGAATCCATGAAGTCAATTCCGCTGCATTTTGCATTATTGAGTGTTGATTTGAATAAAACACTGTAAAGCGATAGGGCCCCCCCAAAGTTTTTGTACCAAGCATCAAGTGATTTTGACTGCAGCTCATATGATTGTCGCCCGCTTCAGAAACCAAAAAATAGCGATTCTGAAACCAGAATGGACTTGCTGGCACAGGAAGATTGAGAAGTGCAATTGATTTGAACTGACTTGGACGCTGAATGTGTGCTATGGTGCTCTAGACAAAAGGGTAGACGGCCAGGGTGCCTTGAAAGTGGCCTCATTGGCCTTGCTGTTGGTGGCTCACTTAGCGTGGGATTGAGACAGCCTAAACTATCACCGGGAGAAAGCTATCAACAAGTAAACCACTCCTGTTTCTGCAATCGTGCTTGTCAAGTGGCTGGGATCGCTGGATTCAGAGGGAACCATCTCCGAGCGCGGCAGAGCTGTTGTCACAATTGCCTGGCCGTTGTTTGATACAGTGACGACAACGTTTATCATGAAGGTCTTTTGGTGCGACAAGATGAACTGAATTGGTCTACACTATGTATATTCAGCTCATGTATAAACAAGTCAGTTCATAGTATACACTGGATTAGATTTATAGTTTTGCCGGACAGTGACATGTATGTTAAGGACTTGTCAGGCACAACAATGGGCCACTGACCTTCAAGTTCAAGAACACAGAGTTCAAGCATTTCTCCCGATTAGGGAAGCCAGTGTACCGGTTCGCACAGTTTTATATGCGTACAAGGTGGGACCCCATAATTATAATTTGGTTTACAAACCCAATTAACTATACTTATATCCGTCATAAACCATAGAATTCACCAAGTCATGTGCACCAACTTAGCTATCGTAAATGAACCATAAATCCCATGAAATCCCAATTTTCCTATAGTTCAAACCCACGTCTTTAAACGTTTTAAGGGATTGGTTGGGGTGACAGGCCTCGAGCCTCTTCGAGGCCGGAAGCCGTGAACGGGATTGGTTTTAGGTCGGTTGCTTCTTAATGTGCATTTTACAGCGCACAATTATATGATATTTTGTTTTTTACATTATTGTATATTATACTTTAAAGATTAGGGATAAACCTTACCTTCACTTTTCATTTCATGTTGCCTTGGCTGTGTCGTTTTGAACCGAGTCTGGGATGGAGTGTTGGGTTGAGCGGCACACTACAGCACCTTCCCCTCAGGTGCACTGGGCCCACATTCCGGTGGAGGTGCCTTGGCTACTGAATGTGACATGACTCACATGCCTTTTCTTGATTCTTATGGCTACTGTAATTATGGTTGTATCTGTGGTTGGTATATTTTTTGTAACTCCGTGGCTCCCAATTTTAAGGGAATATGGATTCCAGCATTGAAAACATAGGCTGAAAGGTAAGCCAAGATAACCACACGTCTTGCTGTGATTGCTGTAGGCTGCTGTGAGCCTATAGTTGTCTGCTGTGCTCTGGAAAAATGATCTTCCAAGCGGGGGATTAAATTGGAATCCTTCAATCCATCAATATATTCAAGACTTGAATAAGTGTATATATTACATTATATCATATTATATTATATCATAGCATTATATTATGTATATTATATATATTGTATATTATATATATATATTTCAATCCCCAAGAAATTCGAGTTTCCCAGCCGCTTTTTTCTGAGGCACAGGCCCTCAACTGCTCCGAAAAAAACCTCATGTGTCAATATTAATTAAGCCATTGGCTTTAGGGATACTTTTTCTTCGGGGTTATAACTCATATTGACATCCCTCGTTGTTTCTTGTTGGTCATCAAGCTTGCGCAAATGTCCTTTGCTCCATGATTCTGGGATTTGTGATCCAAAAAGAACTGAGGCGGTGGCGTTTGAAGCAGAAGATGAGCTGGACAGTGCCTTCCCGGCAACTCAAGTCTTCAAGACGGCCATGTGCAAATTCTGGCAGATCGGCAATTGCATCTACGGAGAAAACTGCAATTTTGTCCATGGAGAGGAAGAGAAGCAGCCTCTCTACAAGGCGAAACTCTGCAAGTACTTCCAACGGGGCCATTGCGCCAGAGGTGCCAACTGCACTTTTGCTCATGGCGTTGAGGAAGTGCAGGCGGGGGTTCAGGACAAAGTTTCCAGGTTTCAGGGGTTGGGAAGATTGGACCACCTGTAAGGACCAGGTTCAGAGTACCTTTAGCCGCATAATCAATGATATACCAATGGTACAACAGTTTATTTATCATTGGTATATCAATGATAGTAATGATAAACCAATGATCATCATTGGCATATAAACTAATATCAATGGTATATAATCATGAGTATACCATTGATATATCAATGATAAAACATATCCATGGGTTTTTAGGATAACATTCTCCGAGAAACCCAGGTAGGACGCGCTGCGTGGGCTCCGCGCACACCTGAGAACAGTGCATGGCCCCTGGGACAAAAATTGTGGACACGCTACGGCATTTGGTGAAGCCCAAAACGAAGCAACAGAAAATGCATCCACAGTATATCCGATATGTCAACGGTATGTTTCTTTGAGTTTGTTGTTCTTCCAGCAACAAAGCCTTTCTAAAGTTTTCGTGTAAGCAAGAAATACACCACGTTGATGCCCAAATGAATCTTGAGCCTCACCATTTTGCTACTGCTGTCATGAGGGTCCCCGAAAAGATCGAATAGTGAATCATCATCAAAACAGCTGGGAATGACTTATTTATGTACAGTACTTAGTCATTCCCCTATAATGATTCTTCACATTGAGTTTTAGAATTTCTTCGGGTTTACCATTGCGTTGGACATGACAGGACCCAGAACAGGAAAATTACTAGTTGGGTGCTTGGGATTTGACGTTGAAACATGGATAAAACAAATGAGATGCATTTCACTGGGTTTCAATATGGTGGGAACATCATAACATCATTTTTCTTGTCTGCAACCAGATCGCTGTTCAAAGATTCCTATTGGAAGAAAGGAAAATCTGCAGGACATGCGAAGAACTACGGTTTCGTATTGAACCGGATTTCCAGAGGGTACTGATTTTCTGGTTGGTGGTTTGGAACATGTTTTATTCACCCATATATTGGGATATCACTCAAAGATGGAATCCTAGCAGTCCTAGCATGGTGATATGTAGCCGGAAGATCACGCCCAGATTTTTTCGGAGCTTGCCACAGGGTCACCTTTCGACAGGTACGAGCCAGAGATGTATTTTGGGCGCTGGGAGAACCAGAGCTACTTCCCTTCTTCGGACGAGGAAAAAACCGTATGGTGCTCACGGTTGGGAACTTGAACTGATAAACCACCAATAAATGCGATAGCTCCACATATTTTCCCAGTGATACATTTTGGGTTACTGCATCATTTAGTGACCAATGACCAAAACATAGGAACCTGAAAGGAACGAAGCTTTCATTGTAGATGGTTTATACCACCAACATTTGCTAGACATGGGTATGGTATGGTTCATGATCACGTTTGCATGGGTTTACATGGGTCTACATGGGTCTACATGGGTTTACCGCATTGTCATGGAACTTCCCCCCACAAAATAATTATTGAAACCTAATTACATGTAGAGTTGTGATCCTCGCTGATGATATTTGGCGAGGCTCGGGAACAAACTGGGGGGCTCAATAAATCTTGCAGTTACAGTTATGACATGATAAACATGATACCATGGTACAGAATGGTAGGGATGAAATGTCTTATCAGCCTACTATTTTGATGTTATTTGGTACTTAGGTACTGGCCCATCGTTTTTGTGGCTTACTTCCTAAGTCTCTTGCATTTCACTGGGTTTCAATATGGTGGGAACATCATAACATCATTTTTCTTGTCTGCAACCAGATCGCTGTTCAAAGATTCCTATGGGAAGAAAGGAAAATCTGCAGGACATGCGAAGAACTACGGTTTCGTATTGAACCGGATTTCCAGAGGGTACTGATTTTCTGGTTGGTGGTTTGGAACATGTTTTATTCACCCATATATTGGGATATCACTCAAAGATGGAATCCTAGCAGTCCTAGCATGGTGATATGTAGCCGGAAGATCACGCCCAGATTTTTTCGGAGCTTGCCACAGGGTCACCTTTCGACAGGTACGAGCCAGAGATGTATTTTGGCGCTGGGAGAACCAGAGCTACTTCCCTTCTTCGGACGAGGAAAAAACCGTATGGTGCTCACGGTTGGGAACTTGAACTGATAAACCACCAATAAATGCGATAGCTCCACATATTTTCCCAGTGATACATTTTGGGTTACTGCATCATTTAGTGACCAATGACCAAAACATAGGAACCTGAAAGGAACGAAGCTTTCATTGTAGATGGTTTATACCACCAACATTTGCTAGACATGGGTATGGTATGGTTCATGATCACGTTTGCATGGGTTTACATGGGTCTACATGGGTTTACCGCATTGTCATGGAACTTCCCCCCACAAAATAATTATTGAAACCTAATTACATGTAGAGTTGTGATCCTCGCTGATGATATTTGGCGAGGCTCGGGAACAAACTGGGGGGCTCAATAAATCTTGCAGTTACAGTTATGACATGATAAACATGATACCATGGTACAGAATGGTAGGGATGAAATGTCTTATCAGCCTACTATTTTGATGTTATTTGGTACTTAGGTACTGGCCATCGTTTTTGTGGCTTACTTCCTAAGTCTCTTGCATTTCACTGGGTTTCAATATGGTGGGAACATCATAACATCATTTTTCTTGTCTGCAACCAGATCGCTGTTCAAAGATTCCTATTGGAAGAAAGGAAAATCTGCAGGACATGCGAAGAACTACGGTTTCGTATTGAACAGGATTTCCAGAGGGTACTGATTTTCTGGTTGGTGGTTTGGAACATGTTTTATTCACCCATATATTGGGATATCACTCAAAGATGGAATCCTAGCAGTCCTAGCATGGTGATATGTAGCCGGAAGATCACGCCCAGATTTTTTCGGAGCTTGCCACAGGGTCACCTTTCGACAGGTACGAGCCAGAGATGTATTTTGGCGCTGGGAGAACCAGAGCTACTTCCCTTCTTCGGACGAGGAAAAAACCGTATGGTGCTCACGGTTGGGAACTTGAACTGATAAACCACCAATAAATGCGATAGCTCCACATATTTTCCCAGTGATACATTTTGGGTTACTGCATCATTTAGTGACCAATGACCAAAACATAGGAACCTGAAAGGAACGAAGCTTTCATTGTAGATGGTTTATACCACCAACATTTGCTAGACATGGGTATGGTATGGTTCATGATCACGTTTGCATGGGTTTACATGGGTCTACATGGGTTTACCGCATTGTCATGGAACTTCCCCCCACAAAATAATTATTGAAACCTAATTACATGTAGAGTTGTGATCCTCGCTGATGATATTTGGCGAGGCTCGGGAACAAACTGGGGGGCTCAATAAATCTTGCAGTTACAGTTATGACATGATAAACATGATACCATGGTACAGAATGGTAGGGATGAAATGTCTTATCAGCCTACTATTTTGATGTTATTTGGTACTTAGGTACTGGCGCATCGTTTTTGTGGCTTACTTCCTAAGTCTCTTGCATTTCACTGGGTTTCAATATGGTGGGAACATCATAACATCATTTTTCTTGTCTGCAACCAGATCGCTGTTCAAAGATTCCTATTGGAAGAAAGGAAAATCTGCAGGACATGCGAAGAACTACGGTTTCGTATTGAACAGGATTTCCAGAGGGTACTGATTTTCTGGTTGGTGGTTTGGAACATGTTTTATTCACCCATATATTGGGATATCACTCAAAGATGGAATCCTAGCAGTCCTAGCATGGTGATATGTAGCCGGAAGATCACGCCCAGATTTTTTCGGAGCTTGCCACAGGGTCACCTTTCGACAGGTACGAGCCAGAGATGTATTTTGGGCGCTGGGAGAACCAGAGCTACTTCCCTTCTTCGGACGAGGAAAAAACCGTATGGTGCTCACGGTTGGGAACTTGAACTGATAAACCACCAATAAATGCGATAGCTCCACATATTTTCCCAGTGATACATTTTGGGTTACTGCATCATTTAGTGACCAATGACCAAAACATAGGAACCTGAAAGGAACGAAGCTTTCATTGTAGATGGTTTATACCACCAACATTTGCTAGACATGGGTATGGTATGGTTCATGATCACGTTTGCATGGGTTTACATGGGTCTACATGGGTCTACATGGGTTTACCGCATTGTCATGGAACTTCCCCCCACAAAATAATTATTGAAACCTAATTACATGTAGAGTTGTGATCCTCGCTGATGATATTTGGCGAGGCTCGGGAACAAACTGGGGGGCTCAATAAATCTTGCAGTTACAGTTATGACATGATAAACATGATACCATGGTACACAATGGTAGGGATGAAATGTCTTATCAGCCTACTATTTTGATGTTATTTGGTACTTAGGTACTGGCCCATCGTTTTTGTGGCTTACTTCCTAAGTCTCTTGCATTTCACTGGGTTTCAATATGGTGGGAACATCATAACATCATTTTTCTTGTCTGCAACCAGATCGCTGTTCAAAGATTCCTATTGGAAGAAAGGAAAATCTGCAGGACATGCGAAGAACTACGGTTTCGTATTGAACAGGATTTCCAGAGGGTACTGATTTTCTGGTTGGTGGTTTGGAACATGTTTTATTCACCCATATATTGGGATATCACTCAAAGATGGAATCCTAGCAGTCCTAGCATGGTGATATGTAGCCGGAAGATCACGCCCAGATTTTTTCGGAGCTTGCCACAGGGTCACCTTTCGACAGGTACGAGCCAGAGATGTATTTTGGGCGCTGGGAGAACCAGAGCTACTTCCCTTCTTCGGACGAGGAAAAAACCGTATGGTGCTCACGGTTGGGAACTTGAACTGATAAACCACCAATAAATGCGATAGCTCCACATATTTTCCCAGTGATACATTTTGGGTTACTGCATCATTTAGTGACCAATGACCAAAACATAGGAACCTGAAAGGAACGAAGCTTTCATTGTAGATGGTTTATACCACCAACATTTGCTAGACATGGGTATGGTATGGTTCATGATCACGTTTGCATGGGTTTACATGGGTCTACATGGGTCTACATGGGTTTACCGCATTGTCATGGAACTTCCCCCCACAAAATAATTATTGAAACCTAATTACATGTAGAGTTGTGATCCTCGCTGATGATATTTGGCGAGGCTCGGGAACAAACTGGGGGGCTCAATAAATCTTGCAGTTACAGTTATGACATGGCAAACATGATACCATGGTACAGAATGGTAGGGATGAAATGTCTTATCAGCCTACTATTTTGATGTTATTTGGTACTTAGGTACTGGCCCATCGTTTTTGTGGCTTAGTTCCTAGGTCTCTTGCATTTCACTGGGTTTCAATATGTTGGGAACATCATAACATCATTTTTCTTGTCTGCAGCCAGATCGCTGTTCAAAGATTCCTATTGGAAGAAAGGAAAATCTGCAGGACATGCGAAGAACTACGGTTTCGTATTGAACAGGATTTCCAGAGGGTACTGATTTTCTGGTTGGTGGTTTGGAACATGTTTTATTCACCCATATATTGGGATATCACTCAAAGATGGAATCCTAGCAGTCCTAGCATGGTGATATGTAGCCGGAAGATCACGCCCAGATTTTTTCGGAGCTGGCCACAGGGTCACCTTTCGATATGAGCCAGAGATGTATTTTGGGCGCTGGGAGAACCATAGCTACTTCCCTTCTCCTTCGGACGGGGAAAAAACCGTGGGAGAGGGACTTGGTCACAGAATCGTACGGTGTTCACGGTGGGGAACTTGAGCCACTGATAAACCACCAACAGAATCGATAGCCCCACATCTTTTCCCAGTGATACCTTTTGGGCTACTGTATAATTTAGCGACCGAAACGTAGGAACCTGACACGAATAAAGCGTTCATTGTAGATGGTTTATACCACCAACATCTGGTAGACATGTGTATGGTATGGTTCATGATCACGTTTGCATTGGTTTACATTGGTCTGCATGGGTTTACCGCATTGTCATGGAACTTCTCCCCACAAAATAATTATTGATACCTAATCGCATGTAGAGTTGTGACCCTCGCTGATGATATTTGGCGAGGCTCGGGAACAAACTGGGGGGCTCGACCAAATTAATCTTGCAGTTACAGTTATGACATGATAAACATGATACCATGGTACACAATGGTAGGGATGAAATTTCTTATCAGCCTACTATTTTTTTGTTATTTGGTACTTAGGTACTGACCCATCGTTTTTGTGGCTTAGTTCCTAAGTCTCTTGCTTCGAATTGCACTCTTTGCCGTCAAATCTGCATATCTGTCGCTCCAGACCCAGATTTTTATTGAATGACATTTCTTGCCATCAATATCCCCATATTTGTAGGTAAAGAATGGGAGGTTTCCTAAAATGGAGGTACCCCCAAATCATCAGTTTTAATCTGATGTTTGATTATAAACCATCCAGCTTTTCGGGTACCCTCACTTCAGGAAACACACTTAAACCCATCCCAAGTTTGTACACCAGGACTGGCAGACCTTTGCGATCTATCAGCTGATTACAGACCGCACCTTGGGTGCTTTGGGAGCTACCAGAAATTGGGAATGTGCCCCTCTAAAAAACATGGGATTTTCCATGTTTTTCGAAGGCAAAGCCTATTATTTTGTAGGTAAAGAAGGTTGGGATGAAGCTGCAAATGGTGCTACAAAAAAAAAGATTTGACCGATGTAAAACAATGAAGACTGGGGGCCGTGACCAAGCAAAATTCGGGTGTTTGTTTATCAAAAATTGGGACAAACAAAGCGAACTGTTGTAGGCATAAAGATGAATTTACATGAAATTGCTTTCATGTGTTTTTTGATTTACAAACATGGGAATTAGCTTACTCAAACAGGGGGAATTAGCAGCAAAAAATGGGGGATGTGAAGCTGGATTTTTGGCCCAGTCGGATCAAGATGGGAGGATTTTGATCTACGAATGATTGACAAATGACTGATAGCAATGAGGGTAGTACTTGACAATGACAAATCTACCAATACATCAAAGTTTGTCAACAAGATTTTCAAAGATTATTACCAATACCATCTGCTCCTCCCTTTGATATCCACATTACATCAAATCTACCGATACATAGCGGGTATACAAATTAATGGGATGAACATCCTATGGTTTAAAGGTGATATATCTATAGTTATTGGGTATCAAAGGGGGAGCAGACCACTTGCGGCTAAAAAAGCTGCCTGCGGCTTCAGCTGGGCCACGCACGTGCAAAGGTCGACCCACCTTCATGGATCTTAGGACATGTAGACCATGTCTAATTGTCTGAGTGTCTATGTAACATATTGTAATATAAGTAATACTACCAATGATAAGACTAATAACAATAATGGATCCATATATTTATATATATATGTGTGGTGATGATGATGATGATGATGATGATGACGATGATGATGATGATGATGATGAAAACGTCCGATGGCCATACAGATTGGATCTTCACAGGGATCGCCTTTCTGACCGATCAGAGGCTTTGCTGATGGCGACCCCAGGCCACGGCCCTGCTGCGCTTCCTTGGCAGATTGAGATACTGTAGCAAGGTGTGTGGAGTGATGCTAATACACATGAATAAATAGATTATACATCAGATGGGATGGGTTTAAGTGACATTAATATATTATTTACATCCCATTAATTCACAGTTTTCTGTTGCTGCTTCTTCTGTTCAAAAGACAGCTGCCGGATGGGCTGCCCTCCTGGCGCCGACAACAAGTGCCAGGAGGGCAGCGTACAGTTCGTTTCAATTTTTCTCGTTTTAAAAAATCCGAGTGAGGTGTCTTGACCTGAGGCTTTGCGGGGGGGAAAAATCCAGTAAACCATAGTAAACTTGTTTTGCATTGGATAAAACCATCTCATTGAATCACTCATTTGCGCTAGTAAAGAGGCACACGGAGTTCGGCCAGGAGCCCAACACAGTTTGGGGGCCTGTTGACGCAAAGAACCACAGTTGGACCTTGTTGCTGCAAGATCACTACCCTCCTGGCGCCCCTGACCCCTTCCAGGGGGTATAAAAGGTAACATACATTATTACTGCTTTATACCCCCTATAGAAATATAGGAATTTGGGGGTGGTGGGAGAAAGGTAACATGGGCATTGCACCGGGGTATACCTGCTATGTTACATTTTCCAAGGCCCCCCCCCCATGAACAGCCACGGAAATACTTTGGGGGAGGGGGGGCCCTCGGGGATAGAAATTGTAACATATCTCCGTGGGGTAGCCAAAAAATAAATGTTACTTTTTGGGGTCCCTCCCCCTCCCCCTCCCCTATCACCTCCCTATAGCTCTACATAGCCCTACCACAACCTACATTAACCTACTATATCCTCCCATGTCTTGCCCGTTCATCCCCATTTTACATTCTGGTATATTCTGATGGACATCAAAAATGGACATCAAACACCTCAAAAATGCAACATACATTTTTCAGGTTGGCAAGTCGGCTCTTGAGTTTTTCTATTGAAACCACCCAAAAAAAAAATTAACATACAATTTTGAGGTTTATCTTTACAAATTTGATTTGTAAATTTGCTTACCCAGCCTAAAAATGTAATGTAACATTTTTGCGTTTACTTTATGAGTTTGGGTAAAACAACCTACATATATGTGGATATATGTGGTATATAGCCAGGGTCCCAAAACCCTGCATAGTGGCACTCCAAAAATGTATGTTACATTTTTCACCCCCTGGGAGGGGGTAAGATGGTCGTGATGCTGCAAGGAAAACTTGAAATCCAACTCTTTCCAAACGGGTTGGCCGCAGCATGTCCTGCCGCCGCATTGGGCCTCAAGTAAAAACGTTGTTGCCAGAGCTGCTTTGCAGCCCAATCAGGCTGGGCATTATACTAGGCCGAAAACACGACCTCTGAAGTTTACCTTTGGTTCAGTTGATCTTTTGTTTGCGTTGCTGAATATGTTGTCACAGTTCCTGCTGTCATTGGATACCAAGATAGCCGAGTTGGTGTGTTGTTTAGTTTTTATCAATTTGCAAGTTTCTTGCCCACAAGAAGCAAGGCAAGTTCCCAATTATGTTTTTCATCAATCAGAACTGCACAGATTGCAGCGTGCAGAAGGCAATATTGTGCACACCATGGTTCACTGGGCACACTAAAACAAAACTCGGCAGACCTGGACAGAAGACTTGGTGTGATGTTTGTGGTCACCAATCAAAGTTCATTGTTCTTATTGCCCTTGAAGTAGCAAATGACCATAGCTATCCTGTTTCTCATCCCTAATTGTCAACATCACCATGAATATCAGACAGGTCCGCAAGACGCACCCTGGCAGGTAACATGGGACGGCGCCGCAGCCGCAGCGCGTCCGGTTCACCCAAGTTCACCTCGAAAGGAAACTGATAAGGGAGGCAATGGAGGCAATGGAGGCAATGGAGGCAATTGGACTTAGGAAAGTGAAACGGTTAGGTAGACACAAGACAACGGTTGCAAGACCAGACCGAATTCAGATGATCACAAAATGGTTCTTGACCAACTTGTGGGACAGAAAATAACTGTTGTTTTCAAGGGATCCATGTCGCGCTTATTTGTTTCGCCTTGCAGGTGGGCAGCAGATGTCACAATTAAAGGCTCCTTTAATTTGCCACAGAAATTTGGGAACTCGCTCCTGACTGAACTGTCATACCTCAACAAGCCTCCAAGGTCCTACAGCTATGACTACAGCGATAGTCGTAGCCCTTCCCGTGATCGTAGACGCCGGTCCGGGGCACCCAGGTGACAGACTCCAACCATGAACGAAGGGAATGGACGGATGTTCGGCGCTGTTGATTTCTGCGTGGGATGGCACTGTCATGTGCCATGACCATTGACGAAAATTGTATCTTCAATGATTCATGGTTCCCGATATGAATGTGGTCGTGTTGGTCAAGTCATCATTGATGCTGTTTGTCGGACTATAGTACAGCATGGTTCAGAATGCAGTGACGCAGTTGACTCATGTGAGGGATAATGCAGTGACGCAGCTGACTCATGTGAGGGATGGTTTGTTATTGGCTGGAACGGTCATTGGCCAGCATTTGGACACAAAGGAAATAGTTGTTGTGACCCAAGAATGGTCTTCATTTTTTTTGAAGGAGGTAGATGACACAGTTTGAAGTTTAATGTGTTTCGCCTCACTTATCCAGGACTAGTTTCAAACATTCGGCAGTACCGGTCATAGCTGATTCAATTCCTCAAAAAATAGTAGGTCATAGTAGGTCAACATTCCACGGTATTTGTCCTGTTAGCTTTTGGTTTTTGGTTTTGTAGTTGATGGGGATAACCCAAAGTTGTGGGGAAGCGTTTGAGGATCAAAGATACCACCAGAAGGTTGTTCTGTTCTGGTTTTGAAAGGAGGTGGGACTTCATGTTGTACTCCATGATGGTGACATCTCGACCTTACAGGTGTACGGTGATTAGATGTGATTAGTGCATTTACCGAACCTCCCATTGGTTGCCGCCCTCCCCATGTTTTCCGTGTGCTCAGTCGGCGGCGTTCTCGTTCCCGTGGGAAGCGAGGGAAGCGGATGAGCACTGTAGACAGGCGCCACAAGCAGTGATTTGGGAAACAAGTTTAATGCTCTATGTGTTTTGGACGTATATACAATATATATATATACATATGATATAAGATGATTTGAGATTATTTAAGATCATGGACTAATAAATATACGGATATAGACACTTGAATATCTATATACCTGGATCTTCACTTAGCACTTTTTTCTGCTCGTAGCAGTTTTCGCTTGGATTTACGAGAAAACGCGCATTTGTTTCTTGACGGACGGGCATTTACGCTTTTTTCCCGGGTATTTACGCTTATTTCCCGGCAAAATACGCTTATAATTTTGGCTTCAAAATGCACAAAGTGCAAAAATGCCTAAAGTGGTGCAATTACGCTCATGTGGAGAAAAACCGCTCAAAAAGCAGAAATTTCTCAAATGAGCATTTATTTGTGCCTTTTCGAGGATGCAGGTATAGTCGACCCACCTGTAGTTTTGATGAGTACGCGGCAATCGTAGACGTGTCAGCCAGCTGATCGTTGCAGGTTCATCAAAGAGAATGAGCTGAACGAGTCTGCGGCCGCCAGACTACGTGGAGCCACCAAAGAGGCTGAGCCTCCGGGATTTGCGTCCGATTTGCATCCGATCATCATGGATCTTCAGGAAAATTCAGAAAATGTTCAGGACAAAAAATATATAAAGATACGATTTTGTTTCGGGATTCCAAACCCTCACAGCTACTTATTCTTGGCGTGATCTCTCCAAAAATCCTGACCGACCAACCATTTTTCGGGAATGATGAGATCCGAAGAGTTCTCTGAATATCGGGGTTATGGGGTGTTTTTTGTTGAAACATACCATGCTCACACTGAGATTGATCCAAACTCTTACGTTGGACTTTGCTTCCAACTGATCACTTGGGGTCGATCATAATGCCTTTCGGCAAATATTCCATCATATTCCCTACAGTCAATGCTATATGTTGTTTCAATTTTCCCATCATATTGATGAAGATTGCTTTATTTTCTGTTGCTGGTTAGATTGCAATGATACTGTCCGAGTCTATCATGAGTGATTTCTCTGGCTGGCAGGTGCGTGACGCTTGCATTGACCAGGGCTGGAACGTCATTTGACCAAGACGATCCGCAGTCTTCACAGGAAATGGATCAATCCCAGCAAATCATTGGCTAAAGCATCTGAAGTGGGTGATTTCAGAATTTCTGATGTTTGCATATGGTTCGTAATGGGATCCGTCTGGACTGGGCTTCAGATGGCTTTGCGTAGAGTTCACAAAGTGCAGCTTGTACTGCTCCGAGTTGATATGTCAAGGCTGTGCTGAGGCTGTGCTGATGGGATCATGTCAGTTGAGGTCATTGAGAATGCGCGCAACGCCAGTGCGGTGGTGATCTCTCGAATCAAGTCACTTGGGTTCACCTGGCCCAAACTTTTTCCGGTAGCAGTTCTGACTCAGTCCAGAAAGAAATCATTGTACTCTTGAAATTGTACCAGAAGCATGACCACATCGATGTTTTGACCCATTTTGATTCAGCCCGCATCGGCAGAGATTGTATCCCGTGTAGTTTTGGTCTGGGTTTTCGGCCCAAAATGACTGTGATTCTATGATCAAGAATTAGAGCCTTACTTTAATAATTGCCTGGGCAAATTAATTTCCCAACAGTGCACTTTATTCTATATTATTCTATATGGAGATTGTTGATTATTCTGATATATTCTGATTGCAAGCATAAATTCTCTCAGGAAGATCGAAGATGGCAAAAAGAACAAGAGGAGCCGCTCACGGTCGCGCCAGCGCTCTCCTCCACCGAAACGGGACCGACCAGGTGTCGATGGCAGATGCTGGTAGATTGCCACCTCTCGTGTAGCTGCAAACAAGGAGTTTGGAACATGGACTGCAAGATACTACAACATCCCAACTTGTTGTTTTCCGGGGCGTGTCAAAACACTCGAAACCGCCCGGAAATGATTCTCGGTTTTCCATGTTCATGGCGTAGCTAGAGTATTCCACGGAACTGCGTGGAACTGGATACCCCACCCTGAGCTTGCTGGAGGGGATGAGTTTAGAGATGGAGACTGGCAACTTGATAGCACTTTGATGTGTCACCGAGAGGCCAAGCATCAAGATGACCGATTTTCATCGATTTTCCATTTGTTGGGTTTGAACCAGTCAATTTTTGAATGTTGAGATAGGCTTCTGTATGGAGTCAATCCTTCGCTGTCTGAGGTACTGCCCATCCTGTGGTGCTCACAACTATTCCCGTCGCACTGACTGCTTCAAGCCACTTGGTCCAGGTCGATGCTTGCAACCTGAACTGATATCGGATAGCAACTTTCGCCTGAACGGAAACAGAATGAGATGGATGCATTTGCTGAGATGGATAGCTAGCAGTGTTGACATTCTCACTACCTTTGCCCATCCTCTGTGCCACTCCACCTGCGTTGAGCCAAAATTACCCTGCGCTCAGGTGTGGCGCGAAGAAGCCTACGGGGAGAAGCAAGAGCCGCAGCCGAAGCCGAAGCCGCAGCTAAGTCAGCTGCCACAGCGGAATCGCCACTGGGGATGCCTGACAGATGAGAAATGAATATGACACCGAAATTGGGGGAACCTGACTGTTTCTGTTTCTTGGGGTTAAGACCCAACATTCTCATTTCAAATGCGTTTTGGAGTTGTGTCCTGGTGAATGTTAGGGGCAGTGAATTCAATCTTCAGATATTTGCAGTCACGGTTTAGATTTCGAAAGTGTCAGGTTGCATTCCTGGTCCTACTGAATAATATGAAAATCCATGACGGTTGAGCAGTTTGATGCAGTTTGTATCCTTTGGTTTTCTGTTGTTTGACCCAAACCTCCTGGTAGTAGGCAAACAAATAAGCTCAGAAAAGGAGTCGTTGACACAGTTGTAAATGCAGCACTGAATAATTCACACTCAGTTTGAACTCTGGCGTGTAGAGTGAACGATTGGCCTAGATAAACTCCTTTGCTGGTAGTTTTGCATTATGTTCTCACTTTTTCACCTTCGTTCTTGTTAGATGCAATAAACATTGAAACGCCGGTTTGATGTTGGTTGAATCATGCTGGATAATTGTTTTCCCTATCAACTGATGCGACCCTTCAAGACCTTGTGCCACTAGCAGACTGCAAGGTGCCTACGCTGAGCACCAAGCAGTCGTCTCACGCGTGGCCAGGGGCCAGCTGGCACCCTGGGTGTGGGGTTCTTTGAGCTTCAACGAAATCAGATCACGGTAAGAAAGGCAAGAAATGTAAGAAATGTCCCAATGATTTGACACTGAGAATTGGTTAGCTATTGCAGTATGTTCAAACCGATGCTCCCGGTAATATTCATGCAAAATCAGGCGAAGGTTGAGGAAGCTGGATGGCATTGGATGAGTTATTGAGAGCTATCAGGGGTGCACTGTATGTGTGATGCCTTGCTTGAAGATTTAAAGCTGCATTTGTGTTGAAAGTTTCATGTTTTAAGCTGCTGACTTCAGTGCCGCTTCATGCTTCAGATATGCTTGATGTGCAACCCGGTCGATCGCTCCGGTTGTCAAGGATTGTCATGTGATCTCACGTGGCATCCCACCAGATGTGATAGCAAACTCACATGTTGCGTATTAGAGCGCTCCCGCAACCAGCGTCAGCGCTCCAAAAAAGTTGCTCCAAAAACTGCAAGGACCGGCCTTGCTGCATAAGTTTTGGGTATTGAAATAAGCATCATGTCACAAAGATGAGAGTTGGGTATTGTCACCGATGCAAGGGATAGACCAAGCCATCATTCCAATCAAGGGACAATCGTCACTATGAACCTCCACTGTCCATTGGCAGCCTGGTGGGAAGAACAGGGAAAACCCAAGGCATGAAAGAGGAAGTTGTGTATCAAGAGTGGCCTACGCTTCGCTGAAATCGATCAAAAACAGTTTGTCAAGACGGGTTGTTAATAGTTTGGTCACCAGCGGTGTTGGCATTCCCGCCCCGCATTCGATCAATAAGTGTCACTGCGCAGCTCTCATTAGTTAGCACCATGGCATTCTATCAATTCATGATGTTACGTCATCTCAGCAACTTGCCATTTCAACCCGTTCTTTTACCTTTCCATGTGCGAAGTTCGACACATGCTGGAGCTTCCGGGTGTTTGTTTGCTGCGATGCAATGCTCGATTTGCTGCTTGGCTTCAAAAGTCATCCTGCTCCAAGATCATGTGAAGAAACATGTGGGATATCTGAATTCATTGGAGTAAGACCAGATTGTTTGCTGTTCTTTCAACTTATCAATGATATCCAATTCGAGAAAGCGCAACCGAACTGGAACAATATGGTCAATTGGTAGTTATCAATGTTGCTAAATTCACCCCAGTAAATTGAGCAAACGGAATTTCAGATGCGAGGCTCCCGAAGAATCTCTTCCGGAAGGACTTTGAGCATCGATGGGTTCATTTGTGTGGACCCTGAGACCCAAGGGGCAACCCACCAAGGATGTGGGCTGCATGACGGTTGGGGAAGATTCAATGAATCTATTGTCACATGGTCAAGTAGTAGCGGTGAAGATTTCGATGTCTTTCCCATTCTTTGTTCAAACCGATTTTGTGTGATCTTGCCAGAGATACATGGGAATGGTATGGAATGGTGATAAGAAATGAAATCCCATCACTATGATTTCCAGTTTCGCCCAGACCGACTCGGACCTCCAACGCCGATTTTCGCCGCTCAGGCCTCAGGTCGATGCCGAACATCGAATCTTCCAGAGGCCGAAAAATGTAAACCTGGAGAACCAAAATTAGTTCAAGAAATGTCTAGAACCAACCTGATTTATCTGATTTGGGGATGCAAGAGTAAGCAATGAAATTGGGTAGACCAGTAGAGCCTTGGCAGGCCTTGGGATTGGAAGTTTCACCTGAAATAGATGTGTGGCATGATTCGAACAGTTCAGCCACGGTGGGTGCGCCTGCGGATGTTACCAGGATCTGGAGTTTCAAAGAGGTCCTGGCACACGCCGCAAAGAACGGCTTTCAGGTGGGCCGAACTGCTTTGATGGGGCAAGTGCTGTGTCTTGTGGCCTGCGTATGATTCACATGATATGTCACGGGATATAACGAAGTAACCAGGAGAAATGGGATGCAAATGTTGGATGTAGTTGGTCCTTAAGTTGAGGCATACTCAGATCGCACAACAACCCTAACATCTTTCCCACGGGTGTGGTTGGTCAAAAAGGGACCGCAAAGTTCCTTCTGAAGCAAAAGGAAAATTGATTGATTTTGGAGTTGCCCTATGTTTACTGTGATGCATGCCCATACCTTAACATTTCCCAAGGTTCATGGCCACAACCTCTATTTTGATTTGCAGACATGCCGTGTAGGTCACCGTAAGTCTCACATCGCACATCATCAATATCCCATCGGCCTCAATCCGCTCAATCTGGAGAACAGTTTTGAGTTTGGGCTGCCTTTGATTCCACACCTGACACATCCCATCAGAGTATCGCCCATATCACTCTGGACCAAGGCCTATGAATTTGGAATTCCACGGCCAGTACATGTCTCAACCTCAAAGTTGAATGGCTGTCGACCTCTGCTGAAGGACCTCCTAACCCAGCCCCCCCCCCTCACCTTTGGGTTGATGAGGGGGGGCAGATCAGCGACCCCCAAGTATTCAACCCCCCATTGGGAATTGTGATTGGACCATGCCATCTTGGTGATACACAGCGGTTCATCTCATAGATGTTGTCATAGTGTGATGGCACAAACCAAATTCCAAGGATCAGGAAGGTGCGGCCGGTGCAAAACGTGCGTTTTGGGACTCAGATGAAATTTGTGGAGACCGAAGTTGCAGTGATTATTGAAGCTGTGCTGAAGTCATCGAGTCATTCGAGTCATCTAGTTCAAACTTGAACGAGGATGAAACTATCAACTATCATGTGGTCACTAATGGGAAAAGCCATTCAGGTCTGATGGGGCTAAGCCATATCAAAACCACACCCAGGAGGAAACGACCAAGAGAATTGCCTTCAACGCCACCGCTCATGAAACGACAGTGATTTCCAGCAGACTTCTGATGCCTGTCAGGTTGGATGATTTGCGTGTTGAGTCGAGAGTATCCCATCTCAAAACCAATAATTCTACCAAGCCATTTGATTCATGTTGATTCCAGTGGTTTTGAGAACGAGGTTGCAATTCATGTTGTATACCAAATCTTGACGACACCAACCCATACATTTTGAGAATTCTGTATGGCTTGGAAGCGTGGGCGCAGCAGATCAAATTGGTGTTTGACAATGCAAAGTTCAGGGTTGAAACAAATCAAGCCTCCAAATAGGCACAATGCTGGAATTTGTCCAACCGAAGCTTGTTTCACTCCCAACACCGCAGTTGGACAGTAAGGCTACGCGAGAAGTGGACCCTGGTGCAGAACCACGTGCACCGGAGCCATGCGAGGTCCAAAATCTTGTTTGAAGACCTTGCTGGAAAACATTGGGAGACTAAGAATTCCCTAGAAACGATGGATAATATGGATATGTATTTTTCCAAGTGTTTCATCATGTTTGCCATGCAGCAGATGATAGGCCAGCGCAATTCCTCCGGAATGCTTCCATCCTCTTCGGGCTTCCTGGAGGCTGATGGATGATTTCCTATACGATATTGGTTGAAGTCGCCACATCAGACGCATGGTTAGTTTCGGTTCGTTTCTCAACAGAATGTGTGCAATCAACCTGGCATGAAACACATGCGCTTATCATCAAGCGAATACCATGAGATTGCTTGTCATCATGGCTTAAGCCAGTGACTTACGCCAGGGCAACCTGATGGCTTCCTTTTCTGATATTCGCTTTTGGATTCCTGGCCATTTTTTGGCTTCCAAGAGTTGTCCGTGTACCTTTCTCCAGCACTTGCTCTGTGCAGGTCTCAACTCCTACACCACGCCAGCCTTCGCCACAGGCACAGCACTTTCGTGTTCCCCAAAGATTGCCGAGACATGCTGTAGAAATCTGTAGAATCTTGATTTTGAAGGTGATCTCTATTGTTTTTGCGGTGTATATGTGTATATAATTTTGATTTGAGGACACCGTTCTGGAGCCCACACTTCTCCACTTGTGCCCCCGAGTTTGAACCTGTCTGCACAATGCGAATCACGGGTGCGCTTGGTGAAACGGATCGGAAGGCTTTGGGTATCACTTCGACCCCAGCGATGCTATCATTTTGCAGGTCGAGGGGAACAAGTGCCTTGGTTTGGAGCTGCTCATTGTGCATAATTAAACCATCTGGATCCACAATCATTCAATTCAGACTAGATGAAGTCCGTAGAGAATATTGATGAATATTGTTCTAAAATGTTTCGGACAGCCAGAAATGTAATTCTGGAATGCTTCGTTGTACCCAGACCTTCCCTCCTGGGCACTGGCTCAGGACTTGGGAGCTGTGTGCTCGACGACTCACCAACAGCTTTAGCTTTGCCAATCTCACGTACAACCAGGTGATGCTTCAGCAACAGAACGTGAATGGCATTTTGGATAGCCATTTTGAACGGAGCTTATAGAGATAGTTCCTTTTATGTACCGAAAAAGATGTGAACATGTTTGGTGTTCAAAAGACTCTTATGTCATTTATGTGTCACAGCTGCACCAAGCAACAGCAGAGATTCATAGAAAGGTCACCGAGCCCATTTCGCTGCAGGTGCCCGCAGGGGATCCTGATGTGAAGACCTGCAGCACCGTGGCGCCTGGCACAGCAGTCCTGGTCGGTATTTTGACCAAGTCATAGCTCTTGACCATTCCGAAAGTCAAAATGCAAGCGGGTTGTCCAAAATGTATCCATTGGATTAGCTTCACTGGCATGTAACATGCAGTGTAGATCCAAGTGGAATGGAATGATGATGCCAACATTGGGCTGACCACTTTTCCACTATGCCGAGGTGCTCCAAGAGGGAGACGCTCTCTATTTGCCCATTGGACAGGTGCCGTTCAGCGCTGGGATACCGGTGTTTCTTCCCAGAAAATCTGTGGCGGCGTGGATTTTTGGGGAGCTGGAAAGGGAGTCGTTGGATTTGTTCTTAGTGAAAAGCCCCAAGAATCTTGGGATGAGCATGAGTTCAGGAGGCATAAGCAATTCGATGTTATTGACACCATGCAATTAGTCATCTAGGTATTACCGGGTATTACCTGTTCTCCAAGAATAAACCCAGACATACAGGTTGGCCCATTTCGCCCAGATACACCACGCGCGGACGTTGGCATCTCAAAGGTTTTGTGCCCGTTTCGTTGTTGGGCTGCCAGCGCCATCCAGCGCCAAAATGTTGACGATCCCTGAGTTGTCGGATTTAGGTCCGCTAGCTCACCTCAGGTCCGATCATCGGTCCATCCACCTCACTATGTCCTTGAACCGACAGCGACCCGTCAACCGTTGCTATGGGTGGCCGGCTGCGTGTGTAAATTCTTTTGATAAATGTGAACCATGAAACATGTTGCCATGGGAAATAGCAGTCCAAGAGCAAAACTAATCTCCACAAGTTTCAGAGATGAAAGTTCTGGATTTCACGTTTCATGTTCCTGGTTTCTAGCATTTTTTCCCGCCAAGGTTTTGCAGCTCCGCCGCAGTACTGCTGAATGTTGCTGAACAGCCGCTCCACGGCATTGGGTCATTGGACGCAAGTGAACCACCGGCCATGTTGGAAGACAATGTGGGACGCGTCTGGTTTTTTGCAGCTCCGCAAATAGCCGATGCGCCTTGTGCTAGCAGGTCACTCTCATTCGCATGGGCATGGTCCATATATCCAGTGACTTCTAGCAGGTCCACCTGTTCATGGCTAATATCTTGAGCTCCACAATCATGCTGTCAAACTTACATAACTAACCGTTAACCAACCCCATCCATTTGGCAAAAAAGTTATGGTCCTAGAAAACGGTCCCGCCAAGGATCAACCCTTCCAAAGAGGTGGGATTTGCCACTTGGCTTCACATTAGAGGTAGCTGGCAGCTTGCAACTGCTGGTGCAGAATCGTTACTGGTTTCAATCCTGATGTGAGCAGAGATCAAACCTGTCCAAGGAGAGTATAAAATGCACCAGAAATCACAGGCAAGCAAAGGATTTAACCAACTTGAGTTGCTACGCTGACCATGTGTGTGCCGTCCCCTGGAGGATGCTGTTCTGATCCATCTCGGCATGTGCTTTAAAATTGTGATGACCAACTTGTGTGGGATCATTCATGCAGTAGGTATCAAATGTAGCAAGCTGTGCAACGGTTTGTTTTTATTTTTGGGAGACCATGGAGACCTTTCCCTCCCAACAAGCTGTGTGTCAAAACCACCCGAGAAGATCCGAGAACTTTCAATCTGGAAATATCTGGAACCTGGATGGTGGATGCCCACAGTTATGCCCATGTCTGGATCTATTTGTGCATACTTCCAACAATGCATGAGTTTATCATAGTTTATCTACATTTGTTTAGTATATTTAGTTGCAGTTTACATACGACACATCATCAATATTCATCAATAATATCAACAATTCTCGTGAAATCAACCATAATATTGTGTTTCTTTTTTAGGCATCAACCACAATGGGATCTCCACCGGCGTCCAAGGCCCAGATGAACTTCGTGTCATGGGTCCATGGCGTAGCCACCGAAGGCTCCGTGTCATGGTGGGAAACCTCTCAAAAGAATGACAAGGGATACGGTCTTTCACCGCAAAAAAAACATGAATTGCAGAACCAAAAATATGCGATTTCAACACAGCTTGGGGATTCCGCAAAATGAAATGTTGACATGCAAAACGGAAAAGGATTGCTGTTCTATTGGGAATTTGACCACGAATTTACAGGATAGAGTAACAAACCAAAGTCGAGGCAATCTGAGGATGGCTCCGTACCTTGGCATCCTGGCTAAGTCTTTTCTGCAAAGTGTGTAGCAAACGAACAATCAAGGGAACAGAAACAGCAATCATGCAGAAAAATCACTTGCTGCGTCTATTTCCAAAGGCTCAGACTGTGACTGTTTTGTGTCAAGACATTCGGAATGGCGGTTGTTTATAGATTGCAAACCCCACTGACATTGCTTGGAGTTTGAGATTTGAGATTCCAAAGACCATACAAGGTTTCGGAACGTGGTCCCATTGCCGTTTTAGGGTTCTGCAGTTTTCAGCCGCAGAGTTTGGGCATACGAATCTGATACGAACAGCTTGGAGGCGACTTGGCATTTCTGCACGATGTGCCACGAGCCTTTCGCTGTTCAACTCGAGGTGGGGAGCAGATGGGAGCAGAGGGGGACCGTATGGAACCGTGGTGCCAATGAAAGGGCTGATCACTAGGCATTCATATGGCTACCCATATTGGATTGGGGCAGATTTGCAAAAGATTTCAGCAATTGAAATTTTGGTTTGCGCAGAAGTTCCAAGAAACTACTTTAAAAAATCGTGAGTCTTACCATGCATTTATTTTCGGATCAAGTTTGCCCGTGGTACTGACCGGGCTTAGAATCAGGGACGTAAACTGCAACGCCGGGCCATGAACGGATATGAGCATCTCGCTGCTGGCCAGTTGCCTCTTCACGCGCACACAGCTGGAGTTTTAGGCACATCTTTCAACCTGATGAACAATATCATCGGAGCTGGATTTCTTTCACTTCCATACTGCTTGCAAGAAGCTGATCTGAACTTTTCAGCCGGTTTTTGTCCCAGCTAGTTGATCCATTGGTTGGCCTTGATGTTTGAAGGGATGCATCGTTTACGCTTGTCATGAGAGAACAGTGGGGCCATGTTTGAATACAACCATGTCCCAGACTCTCAACCCCAAGTCAAGCCCTATTATCACGGTCCACACCGTGGCCCACAATTTCAATTCACATTCCGAAAGGCTTTGCTTGAGATAATTTCCAGAAGAGAAGCTGTTTTTGTGCTCACATGTTTTTGACTGCCGCCACGGGGTCACTGCATGGAACATGGCCTCCAGGAAGTTTCTTTGCCGGGTTTCCTGATTTTGATGATAGTGATTGGCTCTGCCAACGCCTTGTCGTTTTGGCGACTGGCACAGTGCTGTCAGCTGACGGGGGAGCAGACTTACATGGGCATCGCACGGAAGGCCTTTGGAGCGCGCTGGGCCAAGCTGTGGCAGCTTCCCGGATCTCAAGTTTCATGGGACCCCGGGCTGGCCATGGCCAAAAAGAATCCAAAAGATAAATCTTGAAAAAGATGAAAGATGTGCAACCAATGTGCAACCAATGTGCAACCAGGTTGTGGGCCATGCTATATGCCCTTTTGACCTGCATCTCGTACCTGCACCTGGGCTGCACCAAAGACAATGTCACATATCGCTATTGATCCCTACATGAGATTTAGCTTTTCCAAGTGTGCAGAGTTCTTCACTAGTGGGAGATTCAGATTTTCAACCCGGCAGATCAGGAATATTGTCGCTGCCAGTTGGCGGGATATTTGGCCATCGCTACCCGAAGTTTCTGACGTCCCTGTGCGGCATCCGCTTCTGGCCATCGTAGTGTGTTTGGCAGCAGGTGTGGATGGTGTGGATTCGGAATTGACAAGTGCAAACAAGTGCAAATATGCTCGGATCCAGTGAGTATCCCACCTGTGCAGGTGAGTCACCTGTCCTGCAGGTCTTATCACCGGCATCATTGCCCACACAACCAATGCCGAAGGTCCTGCAATGCAAACCTTTGCATACTGTTGCTGGGTACTTTTAGAATCATCCCAGCTCAGATGCCGCGGTGAAAAGGCTCCAATTGATTATAGGCTGCTAAAATTTTGATGGTTTACAAATCATTTTCACCATTAAAGCCATTTTATGAATGATTATCTCAATAATCCCCATTTTCAAACACGCCATTCTAGGCTAGATTCTGGACAATGATGGTTATAGTTGCTGGCGGGTCCACAGGTCGCCTGGCCTTTTTCTTTGTTTTTTGGGGGGGGTGGGTGGGGGGGCGTAATAACGTTCCTTTTGCTGCGTTCGCTTGGACTTTTTTTTTGTTACCTATTTTTATGTTACGCTTGCAGGCTGCCGCATCATCTTTACGCAACACGGCGTGCTTTCCAAGAAAGCTGGAACACAAGTCATTGACAGAAAGTGGAAGGCATTGAAAGACTTTTTGCCAAGCAACTACCACCGAAAGATCAATGGCCCACATGGCAGCCAAGTCAACCCTCGGATGAGACAGCGTGTCTTTCAGTTTTGCTGGCGCAATTCGCTGAAATGGCCGAGCCCAGCACAGTTCTTAAAACAACTGGCAAAGTTGCAAGGAAAAAAATTGTAGCGGCGTTAGTTTTCAGGATGGTGAAAACTTGCCACCTTTGCCTGACGTCTGATTTCCAATGGGCAAAATACCTAAATGATGGTTTCGTAACCAGGCGACTCATGGACCCGTGACCTTATAGTTATAATAATTCTACTGGGATTTCAATGGAATCAGCAAGTTAAAGCATATTTATTTAGGATTAAGAAATTAGTGTTTCATCTCCCACGGGGTGGTACCTCACTTATGTTTGTTGGTTTACAATCATCCCAATTATTTAGTTTGATAAGATAACCTAGTTACAAACAAAAATTGGAAAATCCCCAACAAAATGGGGAACTGATGCCCCAGTTCATTAGCCAAATCCCTTAGTCCACACATTGAAGATGAATCCAATCACGAGGGAAAGCCAATCCCCAGTTGCAACCATGGGATCATGTTTCAAATATGTCCTCTCAATCTGTCCCCTTTCAACGGAACCTTTAGGCACGAGCGATATTCCCAATCAGAGCATCAATCAGAGCATCAGAACTACATAACTAGAACCACCTCCAGTTTAGTGCGTGATTTAAGCGCCTGCTGGTATGGGTAAAGTCAACTTTTGGGAGACATTCTTTCGTTGTCCCACCCTTCAAACACCCAAGGTTTTTCAGTTGTGTCCTGCGGCTTCTGTGTCTACGGTATGAAGTACTGGCCACATTCCTGGGAGCAGGCGCAGCGGGCTGCAGACTCAAGCGCAGGGTTCCAAGCCGAGTACATCCATATACTGGAAGTCCAAATATATATATATATGCGTGTGTGTGTGGTATATATCTATAGTATATATATATACATACGTGGTGTAGGTGGTCTCTTCAACCACCTTTGTTTGCTTTTGGAATGCGGAGAGTACAGTGCTGAACGCTTCAAGTGTTCAATGGAACCCTGACCCCCACTTTGGTCCTCGGGGGTTTTCCCACAGCTTCCAGGTGGCGATCTTCGCCTCCACGGCCTTCTTACCGTTCTGTTGCCTGCGGCAATTAGATCCCCTGAAGGAGATATCTGCAGCTGCCATGCTGATCGTTTCTGGGTGGCGTTTGACGCTCGTTGGGTCTTGCTGTAGGACTTAAGTCATAAGTCATAAGACATTGACGATGGACGCGCTGTTACGGCTGACGTTTTTCGTACGCTATCACAGGTTTGAAGGGGTGATTATTGGTTAATATAGTTATTAGTTGCTTTCCGTCCCGGCAAATTGATAGTGTAAGACATCCTCTTTAGAAGTTGTTTGAGACATCGGCCGGTTCGCTGTCCGCTGTGGACCCAGGTCCTCTTCCTTTTTCTCTACATTTGTTTCGACCTCCAGGGAGACTTTGCACAAGTCCAAGATGCAAAGTTCACTCGTCAAGGCTCCATGGGCTCAAATGATTCTGTACAAACTCCACACATTTTCATTAAAGAATGTACAGAATCTATGAGGTTTAGGATGGTTTAATAAAGCCCAGCCGACCCCTGTTCTGCAGCATCTCGCCTGGAGGCTTTGAACATGCATATCCCATCATTTCTGTGGCTTTCACTGCACACTACAATGGTCCGCGCTACTTCAGTGAGTTGGGTGATTTGGATCAGTTCTACTGCGTCATCCTCCTGGTTTTGGTCTCCTGTGGCCCAAATGCTACAGTGAACTTTTGGACGCGGAAAATGTCGGGATTACTCTCCCTGGTTCTTGTTTCCACTGTTTTTTTTCAAACAATGTTGATCAGTCACCCATCTTCTGGGAGATTTTTGGTCACCTTTGCCCATTGGGCCCAGGCCTAATTGTCTACAGCCTTTTTGCAGTGCGTGGGGTGATGATTTTTGGAAACCAAACGAGACCAGACCTTCTGAACAATTTGCATGCACCTTGGATGGGAGACTCGGCTCAACCGGCTGTCATCACGATTGCGCGACATGCTGCCCAATAATCCAGACACATCCACTCAAACAAAGATATCAAAATCTAATCAAGGTTGAATAGTGGCAATCCTTTCCTGGTTTCCAATATGTAGAATCAGAGACATGAGTAAGATGAACCAAGAAAGATACCACGAAAACTCTATCCAAAACTTGCTGGCAAACATTGACCGAGTCAGCAACTCCGAGTCAGCAACTAAAACGCGCGGGTCAGCAACTATCCATGTCACATGTCTGAGTCAGCAAGTACCCAAGTCAGCAACTTGTATAACTGCGCGACGGTTCAATTGCAATTGCACACGGGTTTGATGCTATGTTACAGATGGGGTGGCGTAGGGTGGGGTGGGCAATAACATTCACACGTTGACAAAAATTAGCAGGTCACGAAGGTTTCTCCAAAAAAGCGCCTTTTGCTCTGTGATCCTAGGCATGCTATACGGCTATACGCATTAAGGTAGCAACTCAGGTCCTTCAGCCGTAACTTTGCAGCACGGACTGCAGAACTTTCCAATGACCATTGCCAAAATGTTCTGCGAAGTGCAAACACCTTTTGAAATTTACAGAGCAACGTTCGGTACTGGTTGCACATGGGTTTATGCTATGCTACAGATGGGGCTGTGGTAAGGCCAAGTGCTCACTTGCCCCTGCGCACGGGCCTGGTGTTGCGGTAGACGTTGGGCGGGGCTGCGTGCGGTAGGCCAAGGCAATTTATTCGCATTTGGCAGGTTTGGTGCTTGCAAAAGGACTTGATGCTCTGCTGCACACGTTTGATTCTTTTTGATCCGGTCCTATTTGCTGACTCGGCCACGACTATATATAGTCTTGACTTGCTTGGGGGCCGTAATTATTGAGCAAGTGTTGGCAGCCCATTCAACACCGATCCTCTTCATGTTCGCGCAAGATCGAGACAACATTTCAGATTCACAAAGCCAGGCCCCTTGATTGTCCCGACCTGTGAATGTTGAACCCTTGCTTTCCAAGCACGTCTGACTTCCTGCGCCAACCCATCAGTCTCCAATCGACGCTTCTTATTTTCCCGTTTTTTTCCAAGGTCAATTTTGAGTTTGATCCTTTCAGACACCACCAGGTTCTGCTTCGTCTCTGCCTCTCCCTTGTTTTTGAAACTCAACCGTTGGTTTATTGTTGCCAACTCAGCCCTGGTTTCCTTGCCAAATCATGGTTTTACAAGGGAGCTGCAAAACCATGAGTGGACCCCAACCAATTTAATGTTGCAATTTCACCTAAAAGGTCCAAATTCGACTTTGTTTCTCCGAAACCAAGGATATGGATATTTGCTGATCTTGGTTGCAGGTTTTCCAAAGGGTTTCAATGGCGTGCGTGAAGCAGTTTTGCAGCTCGGGTTTGAGGAAAACAACGACACCACTTCAATCAGAAAGCTGCTGGGGGTTTCAGGCTCGGCAAAGACGTATTGGACGTATTTCACCGGGGCATGTTTCTTCTAATTTTTGTGTGTTTCAGATTGCCTTAGCTGGGTGAAACTGAATAGATCACGTATCTTCTTAGATGCATTGGAGAACATGGGTTCTGCCACTGCTGTGTAATTTCCTGCAGTTTTTTGGGGATCATCAATTGAATAATCATTTAAGAGTAATAATTATAATGAGAAAACCAGCGGTCATCATGGCATGATCCAATGATCCACTATCTTATTCTGTTAGTGAATCATGATGACTCCCCATATTGTTGATTAGAAGCATGGTCCCAAAGTGTAGAATGCCATTCCTTATGAGGATCACGCCAGGGTGTTTTGGGAAATTCCTTCATTCCCAACTTGTAGAGGTATGCTATTCCTTTCAATGCTTGGTATTACTGCTCTACTTCTGCATTTCAAAGAGAGTTTGGGATCGATCCTGGACGCGAAAGGAAAAATATTCGGATTTCCCATGGTGTACCTGGGCCCGGCTTTGTTCAGTTGCCGCTTGCAGCAGAAGGTTGGCCTCGGTGACAGCCTACTCATTGGCATTTTTCTGCTAATGTTTGCAGATGTTGGAATGAACATCGCAGAATATCTGGATGGCGCCCACTAGGACGACCCTGTTGTGGGCACTAGCAAACACTGACAGTGTCCATGGGAAGCCGAGACTGCGGACAGTTTTTTTTGGTTCAGCACGTGCCCTTCGATTGCAAAGTTGCGACGCTCCCAAACCTCAGCATACTTTGACACACTCAACGCCTGCCTGGAAGCAGCTCGTAACGCTCGTATCCCTGAAGGCATTTTTCCAAATTGCCTTGAGAGAGGTCTGGTGATTGAACCTGCACCATTGCGTTCAGGAAGTTCAGGAAGTACTTGCACTCTGGGTTTCAAGTCGAAAATCATTGTAGTCAACAGCGAAGCAAAAACAACGACCAGCATGTGACAATGGAATGGCAAAATACTTGGTGGGCGAAGCTACCGGATCAGACATGTTCCGTGCCCAACGGCTGGCAAAAACAATGCTGGATGGTCTGAAGAGCGTAGTTGAAGACGGACAAGGGATGAAAGCAAATCATCCAGTTTAAGATGCTACCTGCAAGACCCCCTTGAAGAAAAAAGACAAAAACAGTGAAAGATCTGGAGCAGGGCAAGGGGTTTGTCTCATGTTGCGCCCACCAGGGGTGTTGGTATGATATCCTCTGGAGACTGCAGATCCAGCACTTCCATCAATAGCCATCTCCATCCCAGGTTTGGTTTCCAGCCATCCTGTCCAGACTTGGTAGGTGGAAAAGGTCGAAAGCCTCACATCGGATGCGCTTCAACTTTCCTGAATCGTCGCCTCGTGCCTTCCTGGTCTGGCTGAAGTGTGAAGTCCTTGATTTCCTGCAGATCCAACCTGATAGAACACTTTGGGCTTAGCAGATGATTTGCATTGGTAGTACACAACCTAATTTTGTCTGTTTGATTATTTTGATTCTGCCCAGTTTGGTTTGGTTTTGCGCAATTTCAGAGGTGCCATCCATGCCCCAGGTACCACCAGTCAAGGAGGCGTGACTGCCAGCTGCCCCGGTCCAAGGCTATCCTGTTGTTGCCAGGTGGCTTTACCCATGGACATGTTGAAGGCTTGTGTGGAGGACACCATCCGCTGTATCCAACGTCGACGGAAGGTCCAATGCACCAATTATGTTCGGGTTTGGAGTTCAAGATAGTTCAAGTAGGGTTCTGACTACTTAAGTTATGATTCATCTCTTTTTTTTCAAATCGCAATGTCGCCATCAATTCAGCTACAACTTGGTGTTGGCTCATCTAGACATGTGGGTGACACTGTGGGCGCTGCATGCTGCACTATGTGGAGATCTTGGGGTCGCAGTCTGACGACCACCAGGATCTACAGATCATCATTGATCGCCTGAGCGCCCATCGGCGATCACAGGAGCATGGTGGCCCCGGAAGATTCCATAACGCCGCTGTCGTCCCGGAATGAATTCCAAACCTGCTTGTTGGGTCCCCGAAACATAGTTGGATCTTCTGAAAGCTACTTTGTTTTCGAATCATGGTTCAAAGTTGTTGTTTGTAATCATTGTTAGGCTTTGCAAATGAGAGATGCCGGACTCCAAATCCTTCAACAACTGGCACCAGGAGGATGTGCTGTCCATGGCCGTGCGGGTCGCAGGAAAAGAGGAGCCAGTGATGGGAAAGCTGAGACCCAAACAGGCCATGCAGTCGAATGGGGAGGTCAGAACCCATGAAGGAATCGGATTGAGAAAGTGATGTCGACTCAAGTCTTGGGACATCTTGGGACATCTTGGGACATCTTGGGACATAGGTTTCGCTGCCACAGATCACTTTGAAGAATTTTAGGTTTGCTTCGTTGACATCATGTTTCACATATCCATCATTGTTTACATGTCTCACACAAGCTTCCATCCGGAAAGATAGGCTTTGCAGCGTGAATTTCCATGGCGTTATGAATAGTCAAGTTACTGTAGCTGTAAATCCCTCCGTCATGGATGATGACATACTGTACTAGGTGGTCAAAGAATGTGTCCCTCGCATGTCTTCAGCGCCTGGAGGTGCTTCAAGGTATTCGATCGCTCCTAGCACCAGAGCCATGCAACCGCACGATGGTGGTTTCCTGGTGAAAAACCTGTTGGTTGGGATTCAAGTTGGGGATCCCCATCACCCAAAAAGGTGTCTCTTCAAAGGATAACTGCGGAGTTTGCCGTTGACGAATCCAGCCTCAGGAAGATGTTGTCTATCTGAGACAGTGAATAGATATTGAAATGACAAAATGGCAAGAAATGGAAAGAAGTCGTATTCTATTGGTCAAGCAACCAAGGCAGGCTTGGGAATCATCACGTCATGATTCCCAGATATTCCTGATGTTCAGCCTGCAAGTCCCGGTATGCAATATCTCAGCAAAGAGGCAAAGCATGAGATCATTCAAAAAGCCAAATGTTGACCCCTGTTCCTCACAAAATGTCTCAAATATCACCAGTTTTAAATACCATGATAGCAAATCAAACTTCTTCCCCGGTTCATAGATTGCCATCAATCCATCCTGTGTATTTGAAACATTTGAAACCCTTCACTACCCTTCACTACCCTTCACTACCCCGCAGCTTTACCCATCCTCTCTTTCTCCATGTTTCTGAGGCTTGGCAACATCTGTTGGCACGGCAACACTTCGAATACCTGCAGACATCCTTGGAGGATCCAGGGAATGGATGGCTGGGACAGGAAGCTGCGGGAGATTCTCCGGGTAGGACCGGTAGGAAGTGAAGACAGACATCGATGTTTTTCCCATGTAGCCATGGATGGCATGAGGCTTCGCACATCGATGTTCAGTTGCCATGGAATGGCTACGGAGTGCAGTGGAGCTATTCACCATCACCGGGATCTGGACTTGTTGTGTTTCTGCATCAAAAATCATCAAAATCATGGTCAAAGAGAAAGTCACCATGTCACCGTTTGCAGTTGATTTTGGAGACCATTTCCCCATTCCAACTGGAACTCCGATGGTTTTGGAGAGTTGTTGCTGCCGAGCCTGCGATCTTTTTAAGACTCACTGGTCCTGCAGAGCCGCGTGGGGCGGCTTGGAAGGTTGGACAAGACTGGGCGGCTGTGGGTTAATGTTTAGTACAATGAGACAATAACGAGCACATAAGAACCGATCCAATTCCACTTTCAGCCACATCTGAGGAGAGTTGAGCAACTAGTGACCTGACACTATCATCAGGGTATGTTTTCACACATCTTCTTGGTGTTCAGCCCTCCTAAATCATCCTAAATCAGAAAAAGATTACCCCAACTGACCTGCTTGGCATTTGTCATGTCAGTCGGGTCATTGGACCCATCCAAGATGCCATGCCACCAGGCGGGTCATGGTGCGCAGAAAGGTCAAGGCCAAGGAACCCAAAGATGTCGACATGACGCCGAAGGACGTCGCGGATTTGTTCTCCGATTTAAAGAGACCTGTTTCCTCAAGGGAGGTCATTGGTCATCATCTTTGAGTTTGGCGAAGGTTGGTGAAAAGACACCGATCCAGTTCATGTTCATTTGCTTGTGAATTGGGGGCAGGACAGCAAAGTCAAAAAGACCATCAACAAGAGTTTCTTGGATGAGTGATGGCAGTATATCTGCCCTGAGGATGTCACTGTTACCCTTGTTTTGTACTGGGCAGTTGGTATCGCGGATGTCATTTTGGTGGTGTTTAGAAATGCTCACTCCAAAACACTGCGGCCGAGGTTGCAAACTGGAATGTGATCATCCGGTAGTAGATCAAAGACGGATCATGTTCCAATGTTCCGAAACTCGGGAACGGAATCTCTAAAGTTGAAAGGTTTGAAGGGAAACTCCAAGGTTCAGTGGCAAAACACTTGGTGACAAACTGAAAAATCTTTTTGATCATAAATCAAAGCCGAGGCCAACGGCGCAAGAAGGCCAAGGCCACTGGAAATCTGGGTGCCCGCTTGGCCGAGAGCCGGAAGCAGCGGCGTGCCTTGGCGCGGATGCCGGTTATATACGGACCCCTTGGAAACTGTGGATTCCAATGATCAAAAGCTGAAGTGAATAAATGGATATATAATATATATATATACATGGTATAAGATAATAGTGAATAATATTGAGTAAGATCATCCAAGTGATAAATTCTTTCCAAATACCAGGAATATGATAGTTGCACCACATGGGAAAATATCAGCAATACTCATTCCGATGTGTGCAACGGAACGGAGTTGGAGTAAACAGACTCAAGCCTGCTGGACCTTACCACAACCTGCATAGATTGTCAGTTGCTGTCAGTTGCTTTGAATTTCTGTTCCAACATCACAAGAAACACCAGCTATTGGCCAGCCCCTCCATCCCACATAGCCTACAAATCCTTTTTTCTGTCGGCCAGTTTTTTGAGCAGTCCAAGTCTGCAATTTGCGCAATTTATTAATTCTCCAAGTCCATGAATCAATGAACTCTCAAAGTCCCGAAAAGGAAGTGATCGACCCTTTTCCCAGGCCCTGGTGCCTTCCAAAAAGAAATTCTAAGATTCTAACCCGATCACGTTAAGCATCGAGCGTGTCTCACCTTCACCAAGGAAAGCGCATCGCTTCGTCTGCTGGAGGCGTGACCAGCCATGGCTCCAATCACCAAAATATGACGCGTCACTCAACAGCTGTAACTGGTGATCATCCAGGCAACGTATCATGGGTAGATAAAAGATGGGTTCATTATGTTGGTCATTGTAAGGTTTTTTTGGCAACACTAGGGAGAGCTCCTTGGAGCATGCTAGCCAGTGTCTTGATATCTGAATATCCACAGTTGGGATGAAATTCCAAATCTTTGCCATAGAAGCTTCGAGACAGGCCGCGGGGAGTCAGCTGAGCAGTTGAAATCGCGGCAAGCGACGGAGTGGAAAGAGATGAAGGACACTATGATGCACTGGGCGCACCTGATGTGCAGATTTGTAGTGGAAATTCACAGATTTCAAAGGAATCCTACTGAAATTGTCCATGGATGCTATGATGTCGATGATGTTCATCGCTAGTGAAGTTGTTTGCATTTGCTTAGCATCAAAGCCAACGTCTCCGAAGTTTTAGCATTCGAAACTCTTTGCCAATTTAGCAATGACAAGATTTAAGTGCGGGAAAATTTCGCCATGCTTAGACAAGGCCCTGAAAATTGAACGAGTAAGGAGTATCGGGGTATCTGGTTTCGTCCGATTTCGGGTGTTTCAGTGTTTCACCAGGCCCAAGTGGCACAGCTCAAGAAGGTGCGGCAAAAGTTGCCGCGACGAGGCACTGGGAACATGGGCTGGGCCATGCTGGACCATGCTAGGCCCCAGGACTTTAATATGGCTGAAAAATATTGAAAAACCACAGCTGTATGTCGAAGAACAGCCTGATGTGGACTTGGAGACTTGGATCATGTTTTGGATGTCCCACCATGCAGTGATCTTTCTCATTTGGCACGTGATCTCGGAAAATGATCCTGCAAGACCCTGTATCAGAGACCACCAGCTTTTACACTATCAGTATTCATATCCAATTGTGAGCACACCCAAAAAGTATATTCCACATTTCCTTGCAAGGCAAGCAGACAACAGATTCCAGGTGACATAGCACAACTTTGGCACCAATTTGTGCTGCATATTGAGATCTCTGAAACTTCTATTGATCTCCATCTTCCTTCCTCTTTAACGTTATTTCGATTGATTTGGAAGAAATTCTGACATGTTCCATATGTCCATCAGCCATGATATCCAGAGAGCCTGTTTGCCACCCATACTATGGAAGATGAACAGGAGGATTAATTCTTTTTCGGGTGCGTTCAACACATCGTAAATGAAGAATCTGACCTTGTATCATGTTCATCTCTCAAGACATCTTCAGACCATTCCAGATCTGCTTTCCTTGTAGAATTGGTGTAAGATGTTTTCCATCAAAAAGCTCTTGATTGAGTTATGGCTCAACTCATTGATCCTTCGAATATCTCAAACCAGATAGACGCAGGCCACATGTGTGTTTATAGAGCAGTTTGATTCGACCGAAGCTAATCATGTTTGCAGATCATGCTAGTGGTCCTGCCAACTTCATCTGGGAAGAATTGCAGTTCCGATTCTTCTGCCCTCAGGAAGCAAAGAGCAGAAAGAGGAGGTGTCGAAACAGATTCGACAACTGCAGGAAGACATGCAGGTAGCGGTGCACTCCCTGGGTTGGTTGACCTTAAGGCTTGCCATCAACTCAATAATACTTCACCATACTACTAGTAAAAGGGATACAACTGTTTGGCGTTGCATGGTCTGGAGCCTGAAGGTCTAGAAGCCAAGCTGTATGCCATTGGAACCCCTTCATTCTCCTTCCCCCACTGTGGAAAAGCCATGCCAGGTAAGACATGTAGCTGAATTGAAGGCGGCCGGTTTGGACGCCGATACTGGAAAGGACAGGGTTCGGAAAAAGGATGGAAATTGGTTCAAATTGTTGAGGCAATCTCAAAGCAGAATGAAATCAAAGAATATCAAAAAGTGGAAATCATATGAAATCATGTTCATTTGAAAAAAAAAAAAAGCACCTTTTCAAAGTATTTTCACAAGTGAGGGATTCACCTGAATGATGAAGCTCAGCGATGTTGCAAGTGTCAGATTGGTTCTTCCTTGTCCGTCCTGCTTTCTCATGCTTAATCATTGTCATTGACATCAAGATGTTTGTCTTGTCTCTTGTCCTTCTTCTCTTTCTTTGTTGTCTCTACCTGTTTTCAACATCATGTAGAGGGGGGGCTTGCCCGTCGGCTGCACGGCACCACCAGGAGGACATGGATCTGTGATTCCCAACCGCCCAAGATGGGCGTGGACACGTTTGGTGATCCTGCGAAAAAGGCCGAGGAAGTGGGTGATTTCAATTGATTTTCTCAATATATCGAAATCACCTGAGCTTAGGCTTAGGCCAGGCAGCGCCACCGTAAAGCATAAGACGGCCATACATGCGAACCATCCCTTTACCAGTTTGACTGTAGCCTTCAGGTAGGTGCAGCGTGACTCGCTCATGAACTGTTGTGGGGACGGATCGAAAAACAAATCACAACTGGTTAACTACACGTGTGTGTGTGTGTGTGCGTGTTCTACACAAAGGGGTCTATAAGTTTATTGGAGGCCCCTCTGAACAACTCGCGAACATCACATCCCAAGGAGCCCGAGACGCAGAATGAGCCAGAGAGCTGCCAGGAGCAGTGGCAGGTTGAACCCTAAAGGTTGATAGTTCCATAGGTTCCGTAGGTTCCATAGGTTCCACATTACTATGGTTTCTATGGTTTCCATGCGTCCCAATCCTTAGCCTGTGGAAAATCTTAAAGGTTTCGTTATCCTTTGACCTGGACACATTAGAAACCATTTTTTTCTGGGTGTGCACCGCGGAGTAATCCTGCCTTGCCTCACCAAAGACAGCAAGAAATTCGGAGTATCCCGTTTTTTATCGAAGAAGAACCTTTTTTTTGGTACCTTCCAGATTCCAGATGTTGATCTACTGGACCGCAACAACAGTGTCCTTGCCTATGGTTCGATGTCCTTCCCTCTAAAATAAGCTGAATCCCTGCTGTACCAATTCATTTCATGACTTTTCATGTTCCATTTGCCTTGGTCCACTGCATCCGCCTTGGAAGCCACTCAAGTCACAAACTGTGCAGGATGCCAGTGACGACACCGACGTGTTGGACGTGTTGGAAGGATTGGATTTGGACAACCTCTTCGTTGATGTCAATGAGGACACCAGTCACCAGCACACAACAAAGACTCTTCTTGTTGCATGGGTCAGTGTTTGTGTTTTGGCATTTCCTGCTATTTCAATCCTTGACCTCCCGCACTGACAGGTGTATTTTATAGGGATACTTGTAAATGGAAAAAGTCACCTCATCCTCAAAGGCATCGGGGTCATTGGCGAATCATGAAGCATCGCTTGTATGCTTCAAGTTGATGTGTTGCAGCCCACCCTGGACGCTGGATTTACAAGCAAGAATGCTATCCATATCCGTGTATTCTGCCGGTTGAAACACAACGACCCCTGTAGAGTGGCAGTACAGATGAGTTTCCCAGCGTCCTAACAGGAAGAGGAGGTCGAGACCCTCACTGGCATAGGCTGGCCCTGGAGTCCTGAGAAGTGGTGATTCAATCAGATTCTTATGACTTTATGATACTTTATGATACTTTATGAATTATTTCATGATACTTTATGAATCTATGAATTTCGAGATATTTCGAGACCCGCCAAGGACCCAACGCCTCGTTTGCCAGGTCCCTGGTCCGGTACGCCAGCGCCCTTCACTTGGGATCCAGGAGAGCGTCCTCAGGAGGGCCAGGGAAGGTCGCATCCCCAAAATTGGCACCGAAAACATCGCTGGGAAAATCTGAGACATTTTGAAACATTTTGAGACCTTTGGCCAAATAGCATCAAATATCCCAAGTTGGCCAATGATTAATGGAAATCATGAAATCCATGTCCAATTCGGATTGACGTTTTTGTCCATGGCTGGATCCACAATGATCCACAGCAGAAGTGCCAATAAGACTGGTGTCTTCTGAAGTTGCTGCGCGTGGCGTGGGCTTTTGTGTGGGCGGTTTGAAGAATCTCCCATGAGCAGCGATGTTTTTGTTGGATCCCTTTGATGGGTGTCCGGCTGGTGGCTGTGGCTGTTTGTTGAAACTACCAAAGAAAGCTTGCACATTGACCACCTCGCATTTTTGCACACTATCATTCTTTCATGTGGAGTAAAGTTGAGCACGGTTGCTGGATGTTTACAAAATGTGGAGATCCTTTTGATCAGCAGTTCTCTGACAGTTCTCCCAGGAGCATCGAGGTGAAGGCGGACAATGTGAATTATCTCCGCTGATTTTGGTTGTTGACACTCGCTAAACCATCGATGTTGCATCTGCCAATAGTTTTGATGTCTACTTGCATGACAGCCAAAGATTTCTTGGGGAGATTCTGCCACAGATCAGACATTGCAAGCGTATGAGAATCCTGCTGTGGGTGCAATGGGTGCAATGGGTGCAACAGGGAATATGGATGAATATTGGCTCAGGGTGGCCTTGCTGCAGCTTCGCTTCTTCGGTGTTGGAGATCGGTTGTGCCAACGGTGCGAACGGGGTCGAAGAGAGGGTAGCAATCCAAGAGAACATGAGGCAGGTCAATCTAAAGTATCTACACCAGTATACTCAGTATCCTTCATGGCATCAGAAAAAGAGATTCTTTCTATAAGTCAAGTCACTGCTTTGCCTGTGTTGCCGGCTTGTCAGCAGGCAAGATCTGTTTCATCCAATACAGAAGGCTTTGAAACCATCATACCGAATCATACCCAGCAGAGACCATCAATGCAAACTGAACCTGGAAGTAAAGTGTGAAATGTGTGAACGTCCCATGATGTTGTAGATTTTATGATGATTTATTAAAATTTATTAAATAGTTTATGATGTTTATGTAGATTTCTGGTTTCTTGGCGCTGGTGAGATGCATACCTTGGATCAGGTACAGCATTGCCAGTCCAGCCGGCTGACGAGCACCGGGTGTTGATCACCACGTCGCTCGGATAACAAGATTCATCAAGATTCATCAAGATTCCAATGGTCAGTAAATGATGACCCAAAAAACGATGAACTGCCAAGACACCAGTAAGAGTTTTTTGTATGTCTGTCGTACAGTTAAATTCAAAAAAACAATTTCCGGAATTTTGCAACAGTCCAGAAGTCCATGGCTTGTACCAAGTCACACCTCACCAAAGGTATGCCACCGAGCACGTTCACAGCTTTGCACGCTACACATTGCCGCTGAATGTGACTCGGACACTGGGAAGATGGGGCATTCCTTTGGATGGCAAATTTGCCTGTTGCTTTGTTTCTCATCAACGAAGCCAGAGTCAAAGGGTCCAATTTGGGAAGATGTTAATTACTGCATGAGCGGTGCCAAGCGCTGTTCGCTCTTACAGTTTTGTTGGGTTTGCGTCACTTCTCACCCTATTCTGAGTTCTGGATAATCAATCAAAATTTGTCATTGGTTTGCATTGTCCATGATTCGCACGGGGTGGCTCATATTCAAGACTGCAATTCCCATCTTTGCCTCTAGAAACATGCAGCAACATGAACTATTGAATGCTATTGATTGTGTGGTCCTTGTTTTGTTAACTTCCCACTGGAACTCTGTGTCATGTCATGTAGTCGTCATGTAGTCGTCATGTATGTCATGTATGTCATGTCATCCTGGCATCCCGGTCCCATCCGGTCCCCAACTTGGCCAGGCTCATTGGGCCAAACGCTTCAACCATTCCTTCGTAATCGACACCCGTGCGCGGGCAACTGGAGGTGCCATGGCAGAATCGGAGTGGAGGAAGCACAGACACCAGCTTTAACTGACAAAATATGGAGCTAATGGCGATTGCTCATGATTGCTCCCTGTTTCGACCTAGGTTGCCACAGCTGATTGGAATGCACCCATGCGATTGGACATTTGAATGAATTGAACTATGCGATTGGGTGTGACCCAAGCATGTCAGTATGCGGATGGTGTGGCAGTTGGAGGGGACCGTACCTTGTGGTTTGCTCAAGGGCTTGGAAGCCCAGGTGGGGATGATGTTGACCTTTAATTCTATCAGATTAAGGATTATATAAATTACAAGTCAATGATAAGTAATAAGTGATAAATATGTTCAAATAATCCCCCGCCCTAGCCACAGGAAGATGCAACTCCATGCTTGGTGTTCACTTCAAACATGTTCAAACACGAAAAAACGATGTTTCAAGTCGTACCCAAAGAAATCGTCACCTCAGGGTGTGCTCACCGGTCCCTGTTTCCAGCCCCATCCGTTGAACAATGAAGCTGCTCGGCCTGGGGATCCTGCCGCTGGTCCTTGCGCTGAAACGGCGCACGGAAGGCGTCCGGAGCCAGCCTGGGTTCAAAAGTGCCCTTTGTTGATTTCATATCATGAAACAATAACAAAATGAAACATGCTATTTCATAAGATTTCATATGAATTCATAGGGCTCACCACAGCATTCGACATCACCATTATCACTACCAGGCACACCCCAGATGCCCGAGACTTTGGAGTTGGTGTTGGGCAATGCTGCAGCACCCTCCCGACATCTTCCTGAGCAGCTTGCCATGTGAAATACCCAGGTCTCAGGGGTTGGTAGCGCAGGAATGGGCATGGATACCTCATAGATCGATGAAACACTAGTTGCAGATCAGTTGCAGATCTACGTCTGAAGTCGAGATGTTCTCAAAAGCTTGGTGACTCAAACCCTAAATCCACAAAAATGTCGCAAGAATTCAGATAATTATCCTAGATGTTGTCACATTTCGGCACTTTTGGGTTCCCACCGCAAGAACTTTCTCGGAGCCAAGGAAATTTGTGAACCTGAACGCACAGAGAATCAATGCAACTGGGCGACAGGTGTGTGACCTTTTGGAGTTGTGAGCTAAGAGCAGATGTGGTGCCCACATTTGCCCCAGCCACTTGGGAAGGTGAACCCATATCAATCTGGTTCTGGCTAACAACTATGTCAAAACCATCATTCTCAGGATATGATGAACATATTCGTCTGAAAATGAATACTGTAATTCTGCTGAAGGGACGGAGAAGTTGTCAAGCTTCCCAAACAACCCTATTTTCATTGCTCATATAACCTGATTGGTATATTAAAATGTATTAAATATACCAACCTTTATTTAGAATCCCATGCAATGATTACAATATCCATTGGGTCGTGCAATGCCGGTGTCCCAAGGCAACAAAGCTGCAGTACCTTCGCTGCGACCCCAAAGCTCCTCCCTTGGCCGATGGCGAGCGCTGCCGTCCCTACAGCGGGGACTGGGAGAGCGCTATGCTCTGGGGATGGGAAGAACCGGAAGAACCGAAAAACGTGGTTTGACTGATTATTTCAATGATTATTCAGTATATTTCAATGATATTCAATGATTCTTGTCCAGTTTCAGGAGGATATTTAACCCATACATGGTGCTGCCATAACTTTCTGGGCTGAACATTGGAGGTGATTGCTATGTTTCAGAAACGACCAAGATGTGGGGGGGTTGCAGACCACAAATCATTTTGCACCAGTGTGATCTCTCCCATCGTTTCATCAGATTCCATACTGAAAAAACGCAGGAGGAGTTGCACTTTACCCCGCGGCCCTTGAAGTTGGTCCTTGGACACTTGGACAAACGGATCCGTGCCAAAAGGTCCTAAGTCGACTCAGTCGACCTGAACAAAACTACGACTCCACATGCAGCATGGAAGTCTAACGGACTACTAGTTAACATTAGTTCACCTTGATAACTTTCAAACCGCTTGGTTTTTTCTATCAGACAGAATGCGGTCCAGAATGCGTGCAATTCTAAATAGTGAAGTTTGGCTGCAGATCCCGGATTTGATTGCTTCATCGCCTACTAGGTATGAGATACACTAAAAGGGCCAGTGTCGCATCACGTGAAATGTGTCATCTACATTGCGGCTTGGAGGATCATCCCATGAATCGCGAGGGATAAACCAAGATCGCCACTGCAATCGCTGACAGCATGATTCTCAAAGTAGATATGCCACAACTCTCCATAGGTGCGATTCAGACAATGTGACAATGATCCTCGCTCATGTTTTTTTCCTCATCTTTCTAGGTTTTCCATGGCCGAGGCTCTGTTGGGTTGCCACATTTAACACAATCCAATGCCAACAAATCACATTTGTACAATCAGAATTGCGCTATGTCCGCTTTGTCTTAAAACTTGGATGATTTATCTCAGTTGTTTTTCCGTCAAAAGGACCATCCAATCCGCAGCCGCCGAATCGCCAAGTGATCTGTGGGATCGCCCAAGGTGTGATGGCCATGACCAGCCAGAGTGCCATTCAGGAATCTCACCGCAGCTCATCTGGAAATGTTGGGAAGATATTTGGAATCCTGGAAGCGTAAACTGTGAGGACCAAGGAATCACGAAAATCTATAATCATCATATTTCTTAGTTCAAAAAAAAATTGGGAATTACTAAGCATTGCATGGTGTTTTTTGGGGTTTGCCTCCACAGCCCTAGGTGAATTTTAAGCCACCCCTTCGGAGGGTGTGCTGGATGCCGACCGTCCATTGGATGGCCATGGGAAAGCGACAGGGAATCCTCACGGAATCCAGTGAACTAGTGAATCATAATGAACTACAATAAACTATGATGAACTAATTATCTCATGAACACTATAGTCGTAAATGTCATTAAGATTCAAGTTGATTTAAGTGTTTTGACTTCGAAGCTCGTAGTTTTTTGTAGCTTTGCAACAATCCATGTGCCATGCCTTTCACGAAGTCCCCAGCTCAGCGCAGGTAATACGTGGATGAAAAATCCTGGAGTTTGCTCAATGTCGCAGCACAAGGACCCCAGGCACCTGAGTTTCTGATGTTTCTGAAATGTTGCCAATTAATTTCTTCCAAAATCTCTCAGTTTGGACGTTGGCAAAAGGAATTGAAAGAGTCTCAGCCTCTGTTGTTTTCTTCAAGGAAACCCGATCTGCACATCGCAGATATGCTATGCGAGGATAATTGTAGAGGTATCCTTCCCTTTCTTGTGGATTTTTCTATATTTGTATTCAGATGCCACCGCAAAAGAAAGCACCTTGTGATTACCACAGGGTTTCCGTCAGCGGGACAGGTGCAAGATCTTTCCCGTCTTTGTTTTTGGGGATGCCGGCGGCGCCACAACGCATCTCGGTAGACGGAGAATATGTTGGGATCACTTTGAATTTTTGGGGTTGGGTGGCACCACATTAGGTCCCCATATGCCATATGCCATATACATGGTAAACTCCTAAATGGATTAAATGGTGACAGAGACCTTGGATCAGGAAGCTGCCAGATGCTGTGACGCTGGAGAATGTCCCGGAGCCACCACAACAGTGGGATGCTGGGCCATAGGGCCGCGGTTTAGGATCCCAGCCGGAACCCATGGATGTGTAGGACAGTGTAGGACAGTGTAGGACAGTGTAGGAGTCTTGGGACCTTTTTATGCCACTGAAACACCACATGATTGATCCTTTGATGATTATATGTTCGGAAAAGAGAATCAACTGCGACCATTTGCTGAGAATTAAAGCAGATCGAGTTCGACAAAGAGTCAGGCATTTGAGTCATTTTGTGTCGACCTCGTTGACCCCAGCTCAGCGTCGGGTCGCGCTTGTCGCGATTCCACACCATTTGGGAGTTTGGCAAAGTCCAGTCGAGATGCTTTGCAAAAGCAACTAATGAAGCACAATATGAATCACTGAATTGCCGGAAAATCTCAGAATATGGGATCAAACTGTGGAACTGTTCTCCGAAAACGTTTTGGCACTGCAACCATCTGCAACCCCAAGGATGGATTCGAAGACACCAAGCATGAAGCTGCCACTTGGTCAAGCTAAGCTGACCTTGAGACCTCATATCATGGGCAGTTTGAAATCAGTACACTGACATCACTGAGCCACTCCTTATTGCTTGATTTGCTTGGCCTACAATGCCACTGAGAGAAGTTTTGAAGTCAGCGTCAACAGCCCCAGACAGGTTTTTTTGACAAAAGGGGTTCACAGTGGATGAAATGTCCTCAGGGATCCCTGTGGCAGGGGTGGAAAAGGAGTTGGTGGACAAGCCAATTCAAAACTCCAGCTTGGCCCCTTGATGCACCATCATCATGATCTTGGGAGGGTTGCTGGTTGGTGTGACCAGTTTGGTAGCAAATCCATTCTGCGTTTGCCTGGAGTTGACAGAGAAAACTCCAGCTGATAAGACAAATCTTTCAGCTTGGTTGAAAACAGAACTTTACTTCTAAAGGTCTCTCTGACACCCATCACACCGAGACAAGGAACCCCAAGATTGTTGGTTCATGCTGCATTCATGGCTTTGTTTTGTCCATTCCTACCATTCCTACCATTCCTTTCCTACGTGTGGCATGGATCATGATGTTCCTCTGTGGAGCCCATCAAGATCAGCCTGGATGGTGAAACAGCCAGCTACAGTCACTACAGTTCTATGTAGGGAGCCTGTAAATCCTGTAAATGTATTGTAAATGTATTATGATTCTTATGGATCATATATATATATATACACATATCTCGCATATCTCGCATTCTCAATGTTCACCTGCTTTCAGAAAAAAAATCCAGCAGAACCGCTGCCCTGATATCAATTTGGTGTTACCATTGAGGCTGGCATATGCCAAGCAGTTCCACTGGGCCACTCATGTTGGGAAGATGGATTCTGACACTTTCCCAGCACCTCGGACCTGGACCTGCTAACAAATCCAACTGGCATGACATTTTCTGGTTGAAAGGTCGAACCGATGACTGTTGACTATTGATCCACAGATTTCCTGGGAAGCCACATCGGGATTCTCTTTGTGAACTCAACCTCACATAGAAGTCACATAGAACTCACATAGAACTCACATAGAAGTCACATAGAACTCACATAGAACTCACATAGAACTCACATAGAACTCACATAGCTTCCATTTCGACATATTTCGACCCTTTTTCAGGCGCAACGAATCGATCGATCATAAGCCAAGCTATGCCGTTCCGTTGTCAGGACGTGCTGAGCATCATGGAGGATCTCGCCTCGAAGCCGGTGACGCGTTTCGGGGAAGAGTGGCCCGTCGTCTATGGGAGGCACCGTCGGAGCAAATGGTTTGGTCCAAAACATGAAACACTTTGAAACACCATATGGAATATATTGGAATATATTGGAATATATTGGAATATCATATTGGAATACCATGCAAATACTTCGAAATCCATTGGTATATCATATTTTATCATTATTTACTTTATGAATAATGCCATGACTTGGGTTATACAGTAATACAATATTTTGGGGGGAAGCCGAAATCATTTGCTAGTTCGACGTTTGGAGGCACTTCATGGGTGGCTACAATGGCAAAGGCGGTGCACCCCTCAGCCAGTTTCACTTGCAGCATCCAGCTGCATGCTACACTGGTTTGAAGTCACCAAATTCACAATCATTTGGGGCTTGGTTTCAACAGTCCATGGTGCAAGTTCAAGAGCTTCCAGCATCAACTGTTGGTAATTCTCCCTGATACTTGTAGTTGAAGTATGTTGACTTGAAGAGTTCTATGGCGAAACCAACAGGTCGGTGATGAAAGTTTGCACAGGGTTTCTGTTGCAAATATACCTGCAGTGCTGTTAGCTGTTTCCTCAGGGATGTTCGGTGAGTTCTATGCGATCAGCTTTCAGCTGCTCGAATGCTTCCTGAAGGAAGATGCCAAGAAGCACCCAAGGCTCCAGGGCACGGTATGCAAAAAATGGCTACTTGAATGGCTACCCGGCTACCTCACTATGCAAAAATGATGATGTCATGGAAACAGATGATTTATCGATGTGATCAGACTCCGTCTATTTGTATTATTTGTTCACCTGCCACTTGCAGTAACCGCAGACGTGGGATGAGAGGATTTGAGCTGAACTTCGAATGATTTTCATTTCAACGCGGCCGAAGCGGCATTTATTTGGATCCTTTGTGTACCACACCCTGGGTGTGAGAAACTTTAACATCTTGAACCTCAACCCCAGCTCGCTAGATTCCAGCTCTGAAATCCTTCACCTTGAAGTCATCAACTCTGCTGAATGGGTAAAAATCACCATGAACTTGAAGCTTCAGAGTGCTCTCTGCCATCATGTTTGGCAATTTTCTGTTCGTATTTCGATGCCATCAACGGCCAATTCGCCTAAATGGCCATTGTCGCGCACAAATTCGCTCTAACAAGTAAAACACGCGCGATAACACTAGATAGGACAACAAAACGATTCAGGGAGAAGCATTTGAGTTTTTCTCAATTGCGCAGTAAACTCATACAAATTCAATGTTTGTAGTTATGTTTCCCAAATTGTTTGACCACTTGTTCATAGGGACGTGGATTCGTGGATATGAGAATCAAATTCATGGTTACTTTCTGCTATGCATGTGGATGGCCGTGATGGACTGGATCCATGGGAATTCAGAGAACCCTGTTTAGTTTGTTTACTTTGTCCCAATAGTATACAATTGTATGCAATAGTCCCATTTATCATTGCAAATTGTAATCATAAATTGTGTGGAAAAAGACTATCTCTACAAGACCACATGCGATGTTTCAGGTGTCGTTCGCAATTCTGCCAGGGAATTCCTTGAAACCTCGAACAGATGCAGCGCCAGGAGCGGCATCATCAATGGGCGCAACAGCACGTGGGGCGCAGAATGGTGGGCCCACGCAGAGGACCAAGTGCTTCGCACCACCCTTTTCCATGCTGAGGCGCCCGGCTGTCAATGTGGGAAACTCGAATGACGAATGACTAGAAAGGGACGGCATAGTGACGGCATGAGACAGTTTGAATTGGCGCTCACAAGGCAGAAGTTCACGAAGTTCATGTTCAAGCCGTTTCTAGTTCACTTGATCGAAGCAGGGCCCACAAACTTATCCACTTGTTTAGCCTGTCAAAGTATAGTTGTAAGATTTTGTAAGATGTTCTAAGATGTTGTATGATTGCACGACTTACATTCCAAGTGAAACCACGTGTGCTTGGCATGAATTTACAATTGTTGGCAATCCATAATAGTTCACACGTGTGCAGCGTAAGTGTGACACACTTCCAACATCCGCGTGGCACAGGAGGAACACGTTTGCCCCAAGATGCTGGATGCAAACGCTGATCGCTGGCAACATCCCGTGTAACGCGGGCACAGACTCAACAGTCTCAGTACACATTTCCTAGATATTCCTTGTATATTTTGTATGAGATACGTCACAGATATTTCCAAAATCAAGTTTTGCATAGTTTTGCTGCTTAGACCCCAGGGATGAACTGACGGGGAATCAAAAGTGGCTCGCTCGGGGGATGTGCAAGCGGTGGATTCCAGAGGCAAAGTTCTATAAGTTCTAAGAGTTGTTGAAGAGTTTGTGCTGAAAATCGTTGAAGGCTCAATTTGGTTTGTAGTTTTGGAATAGAGCACCTATTATACCACCATACTACACATAATTTGTGTTGAATTGATATATTTTGTTCTACCGATATCCACGAAGGATAAAGTAAAAGTCATGTTTAAGTGGATATAATTGGTGTACCATCCTTTTTGCATTAGCATCCATTGGTTTTGTACGTAATTTACCTGTAATTTACCTGTGAATTTTAGTTGGTTTTAGCAATCCGCAAAAGTGTCGAAAAACAGATCAAGATAAGCCGCGAGGCATCGACGTGAAGAATGCGAAAGTCATGGTCAAGAAGCTTGGCAAAATTTGAAATGTACTGTCCTACCGATCACTTTCGATTGATAGAGTCAAAAATTATGACCTGGCAACCCCAAGTATCAGTCATTTCGAGCACTACCCATGTGGTTTTGGGCTCCGGCTGAACGATGTCCATAGGGCATGTGAGGTGATGCAAAATGGGAACCAACAAATAAGTATAAGTATTTTAAGTAAGTAACAAAGAAACCAACAAATATCACTCATTTACCTCTTCCTGGGCCAAATTTTGTTGATTGTTCCGCGTTTGAGATGAACCCGTTGGTTGAGAAATGCCAGACATCCCAATTTTAGCAGAAAGGGTTGGGTTTGCGAAGCAAGGTAGCGTTTTGAGTTGCTCTTCTTGGTGGTGGTTTCGTTTTGGCAGGTCCTAGGTAGTTTGCACTCAACCGATGATGGTCAGACTCCAATCACTGGAATGTACAAACAGATTTCCAAACAGCTTGGGAAGTACTTGGAAGATACTTTCCCCCGGCACACAGTTTTAGCTTTGCCCTGAGGAAATTTTGGGTTGATCATCCACAAATCACAGATCCTTGGCGTGGCAATTTTTGAGGAGATACGTTCAAAATTGCCAGGATTCCAACACCGCTTGAAATCATGAAATCGGAAATTGGTGCAGGAGTGACCTCTGGAGAAATTCCTTAACATCTTAATCTTAGAAGCCAGCAAACCTCGTGAAACTAATGATGATTCCGAATTCTACACAAAGTTTTAGGATTTTGGAGGGAATCCGTTGAACAGAGGTGGTAAAAAGTTGCTTTTGGCGTGAAACTCTTTTGTGTGGTGAAGATCTATAGATGGTGGGCGTACCATTTATCCAGGAATCAGGCTGTGAGATGTGCAGCTGAGATCAACACCGCATTGAAACCACAGGCGTTTGCTCAGAACTGGTTCAATGTACAAGCCCCAAACATCCCCAAACATCCCCAAACATCCCTAAACCGCCTAAACTTAGACCCTATGAAAACTATTGAAAACTTATGACAGGTGTTGCAACAGAGCAAAGAGATCCAAACACGACCAGATACGACACAGCTCTCCTGTCGCTGTGAGGAGCCCTGGTTGTTGTGGATCGGTGCCGACGCTGCGATCGTGGACTTTGGAGCAGATGTGCTGAGGCAGCTGCTGCGGGCGACTGACAGCCACGTGCAGGCCAGATATGGCCAGATGCAACCCGGATCACCATAGCTGCCATAGCTAAGGACTGCTAAGGACTGCTAAGGAGAGTCGGAGATAAGGATAGCAAACCACGGAGAGGATTTGATGTGATGATCATGGTAAACCATGGTACACCCAACCAGCACTACCTCCATCATCGTCGTCGTCATCGTCATCCAAAACCTAAAGACCTCTCGAAAGCCAAAAGCCTCCTGGTTGGGAAATCAGAGATTTGTGATGAAGATCTGAAATCGGCCAACCAATGCCAACTTGAATTTATCATAGTTACTGTCATAGTTTATTGCGGCAAGCAGATCATACCCATGGAGAGAGTGGATAAATGACCTGGTTGCAGAAGGCAGATCTTGGCGAATACCTCCACAGCTGGGGCAGCTGGGCATTTGACGGCTGTGTTTTGACCAAAAAATGGCCCACTGTCAAATCTCCGGAGGTTCTCATTACCCGCGATCCACATGGCCGAGCTGGAAACTCAATGTCCCTCTTCAATGCAGATGTGATCCTCATCCGAAGGAGCTGGAGTTTGCTGTTGCCAGGTACATTGTGTCTATGCATTTGACAAGTTGCTGTCAAAACTCAGTCTGATTGCAAACTTTACGGCCCCCGATCCAGCTGCGGTCGCGCTTGTTTCAGATGTTTCAGGAGCCCCTGGAGTTCCAAGTTCCTTCAACGTTGGTGGGACGACCCTCGAATGCAGCAGGGCCTCACCGATCAGGAGGCCAAGAGCCGGTCGAGATGGGTCGAGATGGGTCGAGGTTCCTATGACTCCAACAACCACAACAACCACAACAACCACAACATTCCGAGAAAGGAAAGCCATGGGATTCAGGAAATGTCGCGCTTGGCCGAGAATCCCATGGCTTTAGGTGTGTCGGGTATACTTTATTTTCGAACACCCTGCTGGGAGAGTTCAGCATGCATATCTCTTTATCTAATTTTGGGTCTGTTTGAAATGAAAGTAGACCTAGATGTTTTTTGAATGAGTTTGTGAATATGAAGAGGGCAGTCAAATTGCATGATTCTTTGAATCTACGAGTGCAGTTCATATAGGTGATGCATGACGGGCTTGATGATGTGACAATGAGATCCACCCAAATCAGAGTTCACAAGCTGCAATTGGAGTTGGAGGATAATCATATTAATCATGTATGCATCAAACAAGACAAAAGAATCATGGTTGATGCAGGTCTTGGAGCTTCTGTACCAGGAGGACTGAAAGTGACCGACTACGCCATGAGCAGCCGGCCTCACAATGGGGAATGGTTTGGCCACGTAAATCGCGAAGGGAGGGTGGAAAAGCGTGTGTTGACACCGCTGTTCATCGCTCAGCCACAGACGCAGGACGTGATGACCTGTCGCTCCAAAGGTTCGTTGCAGCTGCTGCCACCCATGACTTTGAACTCGGACTCCCTGAGCATCGTGGCGGCAGCGCCGCGAACGCAGCCGGTGGTGCATTTAGGAGGCTGGGATAAGAGACCGATCCTTCGATCCTTAAGACGTGGAGCATTGGTACAACAAGAAATGCGCTGATGATATAAAAACTTAAAAACATGGTAATCAATAAATCACTACATATCACTATCAAAAGTGTGTTGTGTTGAAATTTGTTGATACAGGCAATCAAGAATGGGGAGATCTACTAAATTGAAAAGGTCGCATACAGAATTGGATGATAATGGGTGTATCAAAAAAAAGCTTGGCAGTTGCCCAAACCTCCAAGGACCACTTTGTAGGGTTCAATTCAAAATATTCAAATTTCCCACGAATGACGTCAGTCTCTCATCAGTGAGCAAACTTGCTTCTCAGTAGACGTTTGCCCCCTTTTGTCAAAAAGTTTCAAATTGAGGTAGTCTGAAACGAACCATTGCATAAGGGATTCCAGTTCTTCCATTACCGTGCTATCTTGCAAAACCATTCTGAACATCCAGGTAGTTCACTTCTGTTGGAGGTCTAAACGTGTCATTGACCTTGATGTGCATGTCCTGTAGATATGCAAGTTGAGTGAGGAGCAAAATGAAAGATAAGGTTTCTGGCAAAAAGTTGAATTTTCTTCTTCTGGTGCTTTGCCGGTGTTTTTCAGCACAAGGAGTTCGTCAAAAGGGTGTTCTCTCAAGTCAGTTCTGTGCGGTTTTCATCCCGCGGGGTCGTAGCATGCCGTGGCCCCAGTAGCGACTGTCGTTTCGGCCCCCATGAAGGCCATGGTGATACAGTGAGAGCGCAGTTCTTTCGAGAGGCTTTAGCACTGCAGCGCCAGGCACGCCTTGCACACCTTGCACACCTTGCACACCTTGCACATTGACAGTACAATATGATATTGATAGGAAAGGTGGAAAACCTATGGCTACTCTTTATTTAGTGGCGTTTTATCCTGATCTCGTTATTGCGTTTCTTTCACTATTTCGTGAAGACACACAATGCAGACCACCCCACAACCTATCCTTTGGTTCACAGGTGCTTTTGCACATGGCAGAAACAAACACGATGACATTGCTGCAGCTTGCTGCATGCTGCAGTAAACAGTTCTCTTGTAGGATTTGTGGGGGTCCACATACGCAACTCGTTCAACTCGTAGTGTTTGAATGATTACATATGATTACCCACTTTGAGAGCTGTAGCTGAACGCCATTTGTCAGACGTCCAGGCTCCCTTCATGTCCCTTCAAAAACTCAAGGATTGGTTGTTTCGTGTTGGATTCTGTGTTGGATTCTGCAGAATGACCCAAGAAACATCAAGAAACATCAAGAAACCAGGATCCTGCGGATGTTGTTCATTTTGCAGGATGGCTTGCATCGCGACTCTCTGAAGCTGCAAGATATTTATGTGGAATCTTTGAGACAAGCTATCAAGAATCCAGAGGCAAGTGGCCATGGATTGGGAACAGCGGTAGCGGGGGGAAATTTGATTAAATCATAGGTCCTAGAATGGAAATACCCAACAAGTACCCATGGTGATTGATGGTGAGTCTACAGATTCAAGAATGGCATAAGAGTGACTACGATGTCGGCATTCACTGTAGTCAATATTGAAGATTGAGCTGGTGATTGACATGTGCACAGCTGTTGAACCCGACCTCTTGTCCATTTGCAGCGTGGTCAAGACCAGGATGAATGAAATGCCAACGGCCATTGTAATAAGCATAGATTTGGATGAGGAATCTGTCCATAGTGGTCTCCAGTATAATGGAAAACCATGGAAAATGTATGAATTGAAATGAAACATCATGGCAAAATCATGGCAAAATCATGGCAATCGGAAACCGTTTGGAAGTTCGAGGCTGTCAGTTCCCTGCCAGGGAACCAGCTCGGGACATGTCCACGACAGCGTCAGTGCTGGCCACTTCCAGCGCTTGGCTCGGCAACTTGAGGCCTGGATGGGCAAGTTTCACTTTTGTAACACTGCAACATCATAGTAATATACAGAAGTATACAGATATATATATATATATGTATATATATATATGTGTATATATATATATATGTGTGTATATATATGTATATATATATGTGTACAGTAATATGCCGATTTCATAGGAGTAGCAGGGATGGTGGGAGCAGTTTCATTGGGCCATGTACCATTCCAAAACAAATCTCTCAACAAATCTCTCATGACGCGCTGCCTCTGCAGGACCCCAAGTGCCTAATCGACCTGATCCTTGAATCAAATATGAGATTCCCTGGCATCCTTTGAAAATCCGAGAACAAACTCACAGAACGAGATCAGAACGAACTGGTGAAGTTTTGGAAAACTGGTCAGGCGAAAGGCCGCACCGCGGAGGCCGTGGACGTGCACCGTGCCGCGCTGCGGCATGCCACGAGCCTTGGCTGACTGAACGGGCGTCATGCGGCATGGCGTGCAGCATGCCGAACCCGCTACAGCCGCTATAGATTTCAGATCTAAATGATTGGATATGAATGTGATATGAACAATGCAAAAGATCGTTTCCATTATTCTTACCTGAATTATATGAAATTTATAGTTGGTTTGGATAACCTGGCTCCCTGGTTTCGCGTGACCTTTGCAGGAGACTGCAGGATGTTTGCAGGATGTTCGCAATTGGTGTGTTAGTAGCAATGCAAGAGCTGCACAGAATCTGGATAAATTCGGCTTGCATCCCATGTATGCACTGTTTCTGCTCGGGCACCATCTAAAAGCGCCGTTATTCATTCCATGCAGTTCTCCTATGTTCACCTTGCATGGCAAGACCTCAACTTCCCAAGGCAGAACTTTGGTCCGAAGAACCATCAGACCATCATGGCCCAAGTGGCTGCGTCCTCAGTGAATTGCCCATGCCCACCAGCATCACATCTGGGGCATTCCATCGTTGTTCATCGTTCTTCAACCTTTCTTCAACCTTTCTTCATGGGTGTTTCGGTTGTTCCTTCGTTTCAGCTTCCTTTCAGCCTCTTTTCAGCTCGAAAACGACACGATTTTCCTAGGCCCTGGGCAGCGCCCTCCGTGCCACGGATATGACAGAGGCATCGGCCGTGCTGAAGCGCAGCTGTCGCAAGCTGCGAGGACGTGACCCGGCGTAGAATAGAGCTTTGAAGGAGGAGAATTAACCGATGGTGAGGGAGTTGAGATTTTCTTGACGAGATTTGCATCAGAATCAGATCAACAGACTGTGTGAGAAGTTGTTTTTCTTGAAAGACAAAGTTTGCAACCTTGCTACTGTGAAAGGGTGAGATATTTAAGTTGGATCGAATAGTTTTTGACCTCCAACAACTCCGAATCTTTTTCAGGGTTCAAGTGGTTCAAGTGATGCCGAGAGTCCTGATAGGGTATGTTATTGACAGTCATCGCGATTATTCCTTTGACAAATCCAACACTTTGAAGCTGAATTTGAGAACAGCGCATTGGAGTTTCCAGCTGAATCAGTTTCCAATTTGGCAACCAAGTATACTAAGTATACCAAGTTGTGTTTCCAGCTGAGGCGACAGATTCACGTGTTTCAACAACTTGGCCCTGGCTTTGGACTCATTGGATCACCACGTCGAGGCGGAGGTGCGGGGTCACGTCGGTCACGTGGTTCTGGGAATGTTCAGATGTCCTTGGGATATCTTGGGATTGGTTCAGATGGCAGATCCTCAATTCTCAACTGATATTCCTTGCTGTAGTCCTTTTGAAATTTGGAACGCCCTTTTCATTGAAATCCAACCCACTGAAACATTCCGATGCATTCTCTTCGTCCCCTGCGTTGATTTCTTCCACAAGACAGGCATCCCAGGCAGTTATTGGCCCCTCGACCCTATGTGATACAGTTCAAGTCAAGAACTACAACTTGGATGTTGTTGAAATGTTGTTGAAATGTTGTATTTCTTGAACTGTCAACAAATGGTTTGAAATCCTGGAGTCACACCATCCAGCTGGTTCACAGTGACCAATTTGTCTTGGAAACGGCTTGGTGTGTAGCTGGATTCGATTCCTCACCATCTCCGTGTCATGTTCAGGTGTATTTCCGCAAGGCCCATGTCGGCATGGTGCGGGGTCCTAGGACACCTGAAAAGCTCCCAGCAGTTGCGGATTCGAATCCCCAAATTAGGCCTATGAGATCCTCACATCCATTGGTTTGAGAAAGAATGAAACGCCCTTTCAACAGGGGAAAAAAATCAGATTTGAAAAATAACATAATATAACTTTCTTACCCAGCAGGAAGGATGGGACACAGCGATTTTCGCACTGCGGAAAACTGAGTAGACAGGTTGCACAGCACACAGACCTTTTGCGAACATGTTTGAACATTGTTGAGTACTCGGCCACTAGAAGTTTAGTTCAAAAAGTTTGGTGGTCGTTCCTTTGCTGGATTAAAGCTGTCAGTGAAGCTGCATCATCAAACCAGGAATCCCACCAGGCATCATCATGTCCCAACAAAACGGGCATCTCTTCTATTTCTGCCCTCAATCCCACCAAAGCTGTTTGTTTCGGGCATCATGACAGTGAAACCCAATAGTTTCAAAAAGTTACAAAGCAGCAAGGCTTTTGACATCTTTTGACTGTTTGGGGTTTCACCAGTTTTAGCGTTTTAGCCGAAACATCTGAGTTTGGCATGGCGAATCCATGGGATCACATGGATCACAACACGTTGCACAGGTGAAGGGCCACGACGGCCACGACAGTTTGGGCACGGCCAATGTGGCGGCCAACTGGGCGCGCCAGTTGCAGCGCCACAACCGCCACGCAGAGGCCCGCTCCAAGTGGAATCTATGGCACAAGACTTTCCAAGGCCCAAGAAGATCCGATAAGATCCGATAAGCCAACAAGGCAGATCAATGGCCGGCAATGGGAGCTTCTACAACCTACAATGTGCTTTTCTGTTGCGTTGGGTATGTGGGGTTAGAGGGGAGTACTTTGGAATTTGAGAAAGCTCAAGACAATTTAATTTCTGAGGAGAATCTTTTTACCTGTCTAAACGTCTAAACGTCTGAACCCTTGTTTACTTGTGGCGACTCACATCGCACGTTGCTGAAGGCAGCAGCTCTGTACCACTCTGCGTTCACCACTCGCAGGGCTGCGCTAGGCGTAGCACACCCTGAGACTTTGGAAGTTCAGGTGCTGCTCCTGGGAGTGGCAGATCAAAGCCAACAAAAAGCAAGAGTAAGATAGAAACTTGAAGAAAACATGAAGAAACATGAAAAAACATAGAGATCATGCTTGAAGTTCAGAATCACTGAGGGTCAGAGAAACATCTCGAGTTTGTTTTTTCTTTGGTCAGGAATTTTGAACAGATCACTGGTAACGCATGCCACGTGCGCCACCTCCACGTCAGGCCTCATGGGCAGCGTCTTTGCTGTCACTGAATCGTTTGGCGGAGGCTGAAGAGGCAAATGAAGCCACATTTGTGGTGCCATGGACATCATAGACATCGCAGCCATCTCAGAACTGAATTTCGATTATGTCCCAACTAAGTGACTTGGATGACAAAACTTGGGTTCGTTCGATTTAGTTCGACAGAACCTTTATTATATCATGTCCCCATGCGGTAAAGTGATAATGGAAAAGTCTGTTGCCCCGTGCCACTGCCAGGTGCTACAGGAAGCTTTGCCGCACCACCACCAGCTTTCCGCAGCTGCAGCCCAGGCTGATGGCGATCCGTTCCAAGCTCAAAAGCAATACTAGTAACAATCCTTGTCAGCCTGATCTCAAGACTACATCAACCGATCAACCATCATAATCTACAGAATGGTATCCGGGTGGTGGCCTACCACTTGTTTCATGCGGCTACCAGCAGAGCTTGGCACTTCCCCGAGAATCGCGGATTCTTGAACACCTGAGTGTCATTCTTCCTATGATGATATAAGGGATGACTTAAGGGTACCGGGGCCAAAAGACGAACAGATCCACTTGGTGCAGCGCCGGAGACAGGCGCACAGCACCCTTGGCCAAGCACTGCGACTTCAGGGCAAGGTGTGACCCAATTGGGGTAACCTCGGTAACCGTTAGGTCACCTGGTCACCCAATGAAATCATTGAGACGAAAATGGGATGCTTCCATCAGGTACTCTTGAGTTCTTGAAGGGAAAATTACTCGTTCTCATAGGGTTGAGCATCTTTCAAGTCTCATAAATGTATCAATTTCAAATAATTTCAAAGAGCAGGCCAGTTACCAAGATTTGGGGGACGAGGCCAAATGAATTCCGGTCGTTTTTCCAGGACTGACATGTAAGGAAATGTAAAGAAAATCGGGAAGTGGCTGTGAGTGATATGCAACGGCCACTCACCTGGTGGGGCAGTGCAATGCCTCGAGAAATCTGTCACAGCTATCTTCCAAGCATACAAGAACATGTTTCAATCAGCCTGATTTCAACCCTTTCTTTTCTGTATCGGAGAAAGCAGAATGGTTTCATCAACTTGCCCTGGAGTTGCAGTTTGCCTTCTACTATGGTTCTACTGCCGTTGCAAAACCATTGGAAAACCACTGGAAAACTGCAAAAACCCAAGAGTCCATTGGCTTGGCATTGGCTTGGCATTGGTTTGGCATTGGCTTGGCTGGGTGATTTCTGGGTGATTCCTTCTGTTTCGGTTTCACCTCCAGTTGTCTGAAGCCCTGGAGCATTTTCGCTTCGCCTACCAGTGCCTTGCCTTGACATTGCGTTTGGAATCGGAAGACTCATAAGACTCATAGAAATCATGGCAATGGCAATAGAATCTTCTGGTTAGCTTGGAAGTAGTGAGTTGTGCCCTTGCATTTCCATGAAAGAAGATGTTTTGAGATTATCACAAAATTCCAATCTTTGTCCCAGCCACAAAGTAAATGTCGGCTGCAGTCTTGCACAAGTGGCGCAATCTCAAATAGATGCAAACAAGATGAAGCATGGTTTTGAGGCTGTATGGAGTGCAGGAATATGCTTGGACTCCAGCATGTTGCTCAAGCGATGTAGCGGTGCTGCATAAGCACCTACATGGTAACTACAGTGACGAACTATTGGAACGTCGAAGTATGTCGAAGTATGTCGAAGTATCTGGTCAACCGGGGTTGACTGCCGCAATGCATCGCAATCCTGATTTGCCACTTCCCAGCCTGGCCCAGGATATTCTCAGACCAGCGAGGCCAAGCTCCAGCTGGGACACGTCGAAATGACATGAATCTTCGATACTTCGAGCTTAGCAAATCTTAGCAACAAAACCAACAAGATCAACCAAGATCAACCAGGCTGTTCTCCCAGCACTTGGCCCCCAATCATTGGTAGCTCCGGCGCTCTCATTGTGGCATTGGCTCCATATAGGGTCCATATATCATGAGTTTCATGTTTGCTTTGTTTAGTCTTGGATGCAGCAAAATTTAGACATGGCAAAAGAAACCAAGGCAGCTAAAGCAACATGTTTTCATCCTTGCCGCTGGCCCAGTAAAAGCGATTGCCCTCCCTGCCTTTACCTTGATCGTTCACGAATCCCGAGCACAGGCAACCATGCAGAATCCAACGTGTTTGCTGCTGCAAGCAATTTGGCGTGGGATCACCAAGTTTGCCCAAAAAAAACCTCCTATGATCCATGATGATCCATGATGATCCACGTGTTTCTGTTGTGATCTGTGCCAGTTTGATTTTGCACCACATTTCCCGGACGACAGCACTACAGACAATTTGGGTTTTCAGTGAGTTGCTTCATTTGCAACAAGATTTGTTGAAAGTGGGTCACATGGTAAGCATCAAAAAAAGAACTTGTTTTTTGCTCTCCGATGTTGATGACTTTCGCGAATAGAGAGCGCAATAACACGTTTTGATCCGTTATATGTTTATTTTACGTTTCTTGAGGACTGTCCTAGTTTCACTGAGCATCTTGTGGGAAACTACGCCTGCTGTTAGGTCGATGTTGCATGATGCAAAACGTTGGGAGGAGGCAAAAACTGGGCCCGGTGATCAAACCAAAATACACTTGAACAAAGAACATCAGAACTGGTTTGGTTTGAACAACTAAGCTTATGAGAAGTTCAGAGCCACAGACTGGTGATGTCAAAATAGGTTTATTATCATTTTTTATCTTTTTTTTTTTCATTATGGAATTTCCCCCATTGTCATTTATTTATCGATTTTTTATCATTTGTGGATTGACTCTTCAAACGTGGTCGTTCTGTTGATTTTGCCTTTTGCCTTTGTACAATTGTAGATGAGTATACATGGAGAGAGAGAAAGATCGATATAAATTATAAATGTTGTTTCTATTACTCATCGTTGATCCAACGGTGCTTACTCTTTTACATTACTTTGGATTATGTTATATAGTATGTACTACATGTTTCACATATCCTTATGAAAATGTATTTGGTTTTATCACAAGTTGAACATCAGACCATAGAATGCCATAGAAAGAATATAAATATAGTTTATTTATTTGGTTTATCAGTTGTCAGTTTATCATATTATTACAAACCTGGCAGACCTCCCCTGCCAGCCTCCCTAGCTTGCCCTGGCAGACCTCCCCTGGCAGACCTCCCCTCACCTCCCCTGACCTCCCATACCTCCCCGGCAGCTCTCCCCTGGCAGACCTCCCCTGGCACACCTCCCCTCACACATCTCCCCTGCAGACCTCCCCTGGTAGACCTCCAAACAATGATTCCCCCAAAAGCAATCAATAAATAAATGATATGATAAATAAATGATACTTGGGTAAATCGATAGTTTGCTCACTTGTGCCCAGAATGATAAAGAAATGATAAAAAAAAAAGATAAAAAACCTTTAACTGGATATACAATCCCTGGCTCCCAAAAAATCTCATAAAACTAAGCCCTTGTATCTTATTTGGTCATTTGGCTGCCATGTCATAGAGATCGAAACCGTGCGTCTCAAGACTTTCAAGACAAGCACTGTATGTTGGAAGCCTGGAAGCAAACTAAGCAAACTCCTCACAAAAAATGTTAGACAACTGTGGCACTCCTTAGAGTCTGGATCGACACACCCAATAAAATCGAGATGGGAAAGTATCCGAAAGTAACTGGCCATGTCTCCAATCCTATCTCATTTTTTCTTTACCATGCATCAAATTCACTATCAAGACATGGCTGCTGTGCTGTTCCCCGAATGTGCAGGCCGAACAGATGTTTCGGGTGGCCATTGATGGTTTGGAGCAAACTTTGGGGAAGCAACATGCGAACAGCCAAGCTGCGCGCAAGGGTCTTAGCCAGATTTTTTCAATCTGTGGAAGTTTGCAGGGAATGGATTTAGGCCGTCCTCTAAATATCTGGTGAGGTTGATTCAAGAACACATTGGCAATTTTTCCACCTATGGTGCAGATAGAAAGACTTGCGCTCTGTCACTTCAATTTGAAAGATCCGATCAGTGTAGACATGTGTAGACATGTGTAGACCATTGCAGTTTGGCGGGAGCTTGCAGATGTACCTTGGCGCCCCACCTGGTGAGGTGTGAACTACGAGAGTTTCCTGAAAGTGCCTCGCTGACAAGAAATGATGGGCCCAAGCTTAACTCCAAAGTAAATGGTTCAAATTAGTTCAAATTAGTTCAAATGGTTCAATTTCATATCTTTCAGTAATGATATTTTCAGCAGACCACAGGGTGCTCGAAAATTGTAATGCACATCCGGCCGAAACGTTCCCTTGCCTGTCTCAGGATATGGCTGCAGTCCAGCGTCGGGAACAGCTTCCAACGGCCAGTGCAAAATGTTCCACTGCAACGATGTCAGATGGTGCGAAAGTTTCGAAGGGTTTTTGTTTGATCCATCTGAAATTGTCGACGAAAGTTTTAACAAGCGCATGTGCACATAAGCAAAGGACATGCAGGGCATAGGGCCACCATTTGGATATGAAACAAAAAGTGTGTCTCCAAAGTTGGTTTTGTACTAGATTCCCACATAGGTTGCATATGGTTGTCTTAGGTCTTAGGTCCTCTAGGTGTCGGGTGGCGGGTTTTAGAACAGCACTCCGGCACTCCACTGGCCATGGGCTCCAGCTGGCGCGCCATGGAGGGCACCCCACTCCGGCGCTGATTGCAAGACGCTGGGACCAAAGGGACAGTGTCGTGGGATGATGTGGGATGCACAAAGTGACAGAGATCCCTGAGATCCCGATCTTGGAGATTCTCATTTTACCTCGTCAGTACTCGTCAGATAGTCCGCTCACGATTTTTGCCCAAGAAACTACGAGCATACGAGCATTATGCTGATAGGTCACAGCCGGTTTTCTCAAATCACAGTGTCACAGCCTCTGAGCTGTTCAAACACTGAAAGGGTCTATTGGCACAACTTTTGACCTGGCTGGTGCTTGCAAGGTGTGTATAAAATAGCAGAAATATGCAGAAATATGAAGGCATCGTGCACAGCTAATCAGCTAAGGTAGAAAAGTGAAGAATGCAAATTCCAAAAAGATCTAGAAAGTGTCCCATCACTTGTGCAGACCTGCATTTCGATAATCACAATCATCCCAATCTACAAACCGTCGTGAGCAGATCGGTCTCAAAAGATAGTGGTTGCCCTTTGGAAACCCGCTGTGATGCCTTTCATTCTGGGGCATCTGTTCTCCCAGGAAAAATCCTGCAGTGCATCGCTGCAGTTCGTGGCTGCCTCAGATTTGCCCTGTACATATCTTGATCATTCTTGATCCTTGTTTCCCGCGCAGTATCAACATGTGACTTCAGCTCACCGCTGGAAAAAGGACAGTGAGAAAACGATGAGGAAATGTCTTTCACCACGGTATGACTTTTACTCAGTGCGCCTTCCAAACCCGTAGGATAGTCGGATAGACCCAGGGCAAGCAATACATAGCAATATAATATTCAATATATACATAACAATAGCTAGATGCTCAGATGATCCAAATCACTGCCTCCGAGGTGTGATGAGTAACGGTTCCTATGGCACCTGCCAGGGTAGAACTTCGAGAGATTCCAATGGGTCGAAGGACGGAAAATGACTGAGATCCAGGCCCAAGAAGTCTGTGAATCCTGTTTTGAATCCTGTTCAGTGCTCTGGATTCTAAAATTTCTAAATTCCATGTGATTCGCACACCCCATTTGCGAGGGCCGTGTATCACAAGGGCAGCGCTGCAACTAGTTGATCCCTCTTTGGTGTCAGTCCTAAATTCACAGATGAATATGTGGCCATTGATCTCTCAAGGCGTAGATTGTTTACATTGTTTGGATATTGTTTACAATGTTTACATCATCATCAAGTTTCCAAGTTCGCACATGAAATTCATCAACCTCCGACAGGAGCCCCATGCCAAATTGTCGGATGCCTCAGCGGCTTCACCTGCCGGGTTGGAACGGTCGGGTGCAACGAATTGCAACGAATTGCCCTGGACAACTGCATAGAATCAGCGATTGAAAGATGCTAAGGCATCATAAGGCATCGCCATGAAATCCATGATGAAAGATTTGAAAGGGATTTGGCACTTGAAGGTTTGCCCTTGCCACTCCGCTTGGACTTGTCCCATTCCAAGCACTGCTGGACAAGCCAAGGTTGCAAAAGCATCGAGCCTTAAGGGTGTCTCAAAATGGATTTTATACCGATTTATACCATCTAAGCATGTCTATTCATTTCCCAATTGTCATACCATTGCTGAAAGGAGTTCCCATTTTTCCCTGCCGAATCTAGTTGAAGCCAAGGGTCCGGTCTAAGGATGGTGCATGGTCCTATCTTTGTGGAGAATCCTGATGGTTCCATCACAGAGGCCGGGTTTAGAACGACAGCACGGTACTAAGGCTACTAAGGTTTTGGACGAATTCAAAGTTGAATCCAATCTTGAAATGTCATGAAATGTCTAGCATGCCTGCGGCAAAGTGATTGCGTTTCCATCGAGCGTACAGTAAATATTCTTATGCTAATGATGTTGCAAGTACTGCTTGCCCTGTCCATCTTGGACTTCAGGTTTTCCATGTTTGGTTTTGAAGATCGTTTGATCATTTGATCCATGCCATTTCTCTTATTGGTGTCGCAATCTCTGTTTTCTTGGGCTGGCCTCTCGTGTAAACATCCAAGCAGGCACATACTCTGAAATATCTCCATTCCAATCATATTCAATACATGTCAATACACTCGTGCCAACAATGCCTCCGCCATCACTTTCTGCGGAGGCCGTTCCGTCTGATGCAAAGCAGTCAAGGCGGCAACTCACTGGGCACTCGGATCACATAAGACCTAGAGACCCACAGCAGACCCATTGTTCCACAGATTTCCGTTGGCGTGTAAAAGATATTGAAAAGTCAGATCCCGATGAAGCTGCAGAGCAAAGGCAGGATTATACAAACATGTTTGTCAAATTTGTCAAGTACTTCCAGAAAAGCATTTCTTCAACAGCTGGGTAAAAGACTTGAGTGTGACGCTGGATAAGCAGGTGAAAAAATGAAGAGCTTTACTCATGCGGCAGACCACTCCTGAAAAATTCCTGTCGCTCAATGAACTTGTTTGTGAATCCATTCGTTTTCAAGGGTGAGCTGTCATAAATCTTGCTTCCACAGAATGGGGCTATGGCAACTAGCTGCGAAGCTGCCCCAGCTTCCCTGATAGTGAATCTTCTTGGAATCTACAGCTTGAAGGGGAGTGGGATGAAGGAAACCATGATCATTGCAGGGCGATCAACGATTTTACCATCCCTTTTGTGCAATGAAGCTTCATGACTTTGCGGAAGATGCTCTGTTTCCCACAAAATCCCCGACATCCAGTTCCTGAAAGGCCCACGATTGGAATGAGACCTTAGCCTTAGAGTCTTAGAGGGAAGATTCCATTCATTTCCATTCCATTCTTGATAAAACTGCCCTGGATGTCCAGGCAGCCCGTTCTTGGGGACAATATAAACATGAAGAGGGGTACCGGATAGTATCTCTGATATCACGAAAGGTAGCGTCAGCTACCTGAGTTCTCCGTGCTTCAGCACAAGCATAGGGGGTATTGGGGGGCCAGCCCGGGTCAAACGTGGAATTCTCGCCGTTATGTATTGGATATCAATTATAAAATGGTCATGGGTTCAATTCCCATGGGTGACGCGGTCACGGGCCCCCACATTAGAGGCACACTCTCCATAAGGGAGATGTCCCTGTAGTCCAGCATAATTGGTTTGCTTCAGCCTCAATAACAGTTGCTGCAAGGGGTCTTAAAAAGGGGTTTTAAATAAACCCCTTTTCGTGCATCATTTCACGCTGCACAAGACACCGTATCATGCAGTCATGCTCTGGATAAAATCATCTTAGACTGCGCAAAAACGTTTTTGGTGTATCATCTTAGGGGCGCAGCATTTTGACATCACTCCTCTCCCACTACACTACCTTTCGTCCGCCTCCGCCTGCTCTCAAGTTTAACTAAATGAAAGGTTTGCCAAGTATGCAGTCTATGCAGTCTTGATTTTTTTCCCCTCACTTCCAGGCCCAAATCGGACCGCGACAGACGAAGGGAGCTGGGAAGCCCGGAGGGGATCAACTGGACAGTGCTTAAGTCGCTTCAATATGGGGGCACTTTGAACTGACATGCCCGACATACCCGACATACCCGACATACAGTCAAGACCTTATCGGCCAAGAAAGTCACAATTCTTCACACATGTGGCAGAAATTATCTACTGACTCTCGCTAGCACATGTTTTATGATGAGAAAAGGTCCAACCAGAAATGCTTGGCTGTGGGCAGAGTGCTCCCATAGGGGAAAACTAAAACATCCTGCCTCTCATAAATTGTCGAAACCACAAGGGCAAGAAGAAAGTTACAACTTGTTGAATGAACAACGGCCCAAGATGCATATTGCTGGTCATCATCATGCGAAATCATGAGCATGATTGCATGAATCCCGATGCAGGAGTGCAGATGATAGCGATAGCAGTGGAACTGGTTCCGCCGCGGGCATCAGCATGTCGCAAGAGGCTGGCAATGCGCAGTTTTCTCCGGCTTTGTACAATGTGGAGAAGCAATTTTGAAACCATCGGTAAACTTGGTTTGGCTCAGGAGAAAGATCGTAAAGATACAGAGCCTGTCTTTAAACTCAGATGTGGATCATGTGGATGTCCTTTCCCTCCCCTTTTCGTGAAGGTGGAGTTCCTCTACTCACGGCACGAGCGGGTCTTTATGCTTCTTCTTTTCATACAATTTCTGCTTGAGGTGTCCTGGGGTGACGTGTAGCTGCCCGGGTTGAAATAAATCAGGCAGGTCTAAACATCTGCAGAAGAACAATCGCTTCACAAATTGATAATGTGCTGTTGTTAGCTGTTTCAGGTTCAATCATTTAGTGTAACCTTTGGTGAATTGAAATGAAGCAGAACAACAAACGAATTCATCATGTGTACAGATTCAGGCTCACCAAGTTGTTTTTGATGTGACCTTCAATTTGATGGCACCAAAATGTTCCGTGGAGTCATGCGTTTGCTTTGAGGAGGATCTGCTCAAAGCTGTTTCATTTTCGGAAGTGCCTGGACTACTAGCGGACATTCGTCCCAGACTTCCAATTGTCCATTATGTAGTACCAGCATGTAGCCACTGATGATTCGAGATTACCATGTCGTCCATTGCTGACCTTTTCATCCATTTCCAGCTGGATGACCTGCGACTGGCCCCGAACTATCCGAACCCACCCGCGCTGTCAGTCGCTTTACGCTGCGGTCTTCATAGTGCGCATGCGCCCGCATGAAGCTCAAATTGGATATCACGTACTTCCGAAGCCAAGGGTGACATAAGGTTGGCTTTATGCCATCTACAATGACCTGCTCGTGTTTTGCTGCCTTTTTCTGCCTGCGAGGTCAATGTTCGAATTAGAGGCTATGTACAACTGGGAGATTTCGCAGAAGAGTGCAGAGGTCGATACTGCAGGGGAGCAATCAATGAAAGGGAGATAGATGAACGGAATTGGGAGAAATTGAAAAATTAGATCATCAGAATCTGAACTATTGGGAATTCACAACCAATCTATGGTTGACAAGTAAAGTCCACTGACAGAGTGTTTGGCCCACAGGTTGTCATTTGAGGAAGGTTGGACCTGAAGAATTGTAGGCAGTGGTAATTTCAAGTGTTGACGGACATAGCCAACATGGCCAAATCGTTCACGAAAATCTGGCCCCGGAATTCCTGGAATGTGATGATAAGCTTGGCGTGCTTATATTCAGAAGTTGTTGTAGTTGTGGCTGTGATTCGGCAGTGTTTGACTTGGCCAGGTCATACTTTGGACCACACTGATTATTCAGGTGCCTCATGTGGTCAAGGGGATCCAGAATGGCATCTGCTAGAAAGCACTTTGTTCAAAACCAAGTGCCATTCTGTGTTTAAAGCCTGCCTTGCTGGCTGTGGAGGCAATGGCAAGCCACTGTTAATACACTTGCTATTTTGTTTGCCTAGAATCTACCAGTTTGGATAAATGACTATTTTCACTTTCACACCAGGTTTAATTTCATGGGAACTTGGCAGGGGGGCCAGAGGTGACCCACAACAAAAGTTTCAACATTCTCGACGGCTCTTTGCATACAGGTTGTATATGGTTTTATGCTGATTTTTGAATATGTTTGAATATATTCAAGACATGGTGGTTATCCAAACCAAAACTGCCATCAATTCCTGGGCGGAGTCTGAGAAGCAGTTGGGCATATCCAAATTCGGCTGATCATGTTGATCAACCCCTAGGCCATAGGAGAAGTCACCGCTTTTCGTCAGATCGTCTTCGGAATGGTCTACTACACCATGGCAGCGTTGGCCATTTGCACCAAGAGGCAGCGAATTCACCAAGTTCTGAATCAAGCCAAGCAAGACATTTGTCCAAACGGTATCTCATCTTCCACAAGAGTGTCTTGTTGTAGTTTTTTTTTGGCTGGAACAAGGCCTTGATGAAGACATTGCAAAAGCTGTGAGGTTGCATGGGAAACTGATTTTTCAAAGGAAATTCTCTATTTTGATTTCAGCATTTTCAGCATATAGCATGAATTCATTTGAGCCAACTTTTGCTCGTTAAGCTAGACATGGATAGTTAGCCCTCAGGCCGAAGCATTTCCAAATGTTTGCGAAAACCTGCCTTTGTGGCGTGCGGAACTCGGTACACGGTCAATTCGGAGGGACTCCGGAGGGACTCCATTGGACTCCGGAGGTATCTTATGGATTCTTATGGGTCTTATGGATCCGTAGGTCGTGAGCATGTCGATAATGGAAACTCCTCGGGTGTGTTTTGGGGAAACAGTGGGAGGGGAGGAGTTTGAATCACACCTCAAAAATTAGGCCTTCCTCTTCATTCGGCAATTGAACATCCAGAGGCTGTCAGATTTCAATGTTTGAAAGTGGCAAGAAGTGGATTTTCACCAGAAGTCGACATGAACTGGTCAGTAGTCAGCATTGGCAAAGCCCCCTGAAGCTGGGCTGAAGAGCTGAAGAGCTGAAGAGAGTTAAGATGTTGTGTGTCTGTATTAATAAGTCATTTAATAAGTGTTAAAATATGTTGGAGATTGATCCTCCAACTTTTCAAAACCTGGACCCATCGCCAAGGTAGTTGGTCTGGTGCTTTTGGCCTATGCCGACAAGTTCAATCTCCCGATTTTCTTTTTGCGTTTGTTGGCCTACATCTACGCCAGGCATGGGAACGCCAGGGAAGATGCGGTGTCTCGTTGACGCTGGATATAAGTGTCTAGGGCATGTGTGGGGTAAGGCTGAAAACCTGTACGGGTAAAATTTGTGGGGCAAAATGGGGAAAAGAAAACTGAAACATGCGAGCCAGCAGTTCACAAAAGTGATTTGCAGAAACTTGGCATCCTTTTTTACTGCCAAGCTCATATATGTAGAGGTGTGCAAACACAAACACTTATAGAACGTGTTGCCAGGACTGGAACTGCAAAGGTTCTAGCGGCTCATAGGGATGTCCAAAGCAAAAAACATAGGCAAACTGTGCACAAAAAAGCTTCCACTTTAGGATACTTTAGGTTTGTATGCTACGAAGGAAATAACGAGAATATGAACCTGATCGCCTAAGCTGTCCGCACTGTTGCTTTGGCTCCTCTGCCAGAGCAAGTGTCTTTGTTGATTGTTTTGCCTGCTAAGAACTGTAGGCCCGTAGGCCTGCAGCTAATCTGCGATTGCACATGGTTTTGTCCTGGGTACACAAGCAACCTCAAAATCTCTGATGCTTCGAAGCGATGCCTCCGAAACATGCACCTTCCATTTGCACTCACAAGTTGAGAAGTCTTGCCAGGATCACCATCTCAGGTCCTGTTTTCTTCTCAAGACATTATTTTCGTCGAGAAGCATTCACCAGACTTTACAGATTCTTCATGGTATCTTAGTATCTCAAGTATTTATAGCTCAATGACTCTCCGACACTCTTGATTTCAAAGAAAATCCTTCAAGAAATAGTTTGGATTAGCTCCGATTTGCTCCACTTGTCTAGGACGGTCAGCTCGAAAAGAGAACTCCTTCGCAGGTTCTTGCAGGGCCTTACTGCAAGCATCCTCCTCTTGTCCGGGAAACCTGGGGAAACCCGGGAACCCGGTGCAGATTTTTGAAGACTTTGCCATGTTTGGCAAGGCAGTGGTGAGTTCCCATGGCCACAGTTTCACTACCTTCTGTGCTCCTACTGTGAGGTGTTTAAGGTTGTGAGTTCCATTCCCATCCTCTCACTTTCAGGATTTTATTATTTTGATTGCAAGGTTTCCAAAGCTTTCTAGTAGCCTACTTTAAAGTCACCTTGTACCTCAACTTACCCTTGAGGCCACCTGCCAGGGAGCGCAACAACTTATAACAGCAGGGGAACCTGGGGCTCGCTGCGGAATTTCAATGGGCCCTCCCCAAGTTTGTTTTCTCCGAACAATAAAGATCTGGAAGCACAGCTGAAGAAGAGTAGTTAGTTTCTCATCCTGAACCTGATTCAAATTGTTGAACTCTGCAAGTGTGTACAATTGATGACACAAGTGTGTTGGCTTTGAATGTTCATCAAGTGGGCAGCTAATCATTCGCCAGAGACTTGGTACCCTGGGATCCCCCTGCGAATGCATCAACTTGGCGCTCCGAGTTGAGTAAGTGAGGGACTACAGTCTCACCCCCTGTGCAGAGTTTGGTGCAAGAAAAAAGTGTAAGCTAGGCAGGACGGGAAAAGTTTGGCATCACTATGACTCATGTTGGTTGAGTCAACCCGCCAAGGAATAGACACCAGTTGGCAGATACGAGGAGTCCGCACCAGCTTAAACAGTGCTGAAGTTTACAATGTGTAAATGGATCAGGCTGGTGAGCTGCTCTGGCAGTGTCACGCCAGACCCTGTCCTTGCCACATCATCCCCCCACCCTGCTCCGGGCGGATTTCGGTTCAAACAGGCGTTATTGCGGACAAAGCATCGAATCCGCGGGCCTGAAAGAGGTGTTAAAGAAGAGCTTTAGAGCTTTGGAGTTGCCAAAAAGAGATCAAAAGAGAAATGCAACTTTGATAACAAGAGATCAGAAGACTTTGCCCTCGAACCCCTGCATTCGTGTGCATGCTTAATCGGGAAGTCTTTGGAAACTGGTGATCTCGCATATGGTACAAGCTAGTACAACCCAGTACAACGTAGTACAACCTGGTAGGGCCTGTTACAGCCTTCAAAGCGGACTTTCAATTTGAGCAGTATTTGTTTGTCTCGTTTTGTGGGATTTGAATCCAAAGATCACAGGTAGACCTGTCAAGGCAAGTACGGTAAGCCCGGTGTACATTTGCTAGCTGTGCCAGCCTTGCCATGTCGACATCTGACCACTTGGTAGGCACAATGCTGACCTCTTTATACAATTTAAATACTCTATATGTATATATATATACATATATGTACATATATTGTATATTATATATACAAAAAATATAAAAACAAAAATATGAAAATAAGAATACTGCATATATGTACATACATACATACATACATACATACCTCTTTAAGGTTTCCCAGGAAAAGGTTTGGAGTGAATCTGATGGCTCCAAGTATTTTCAAACCATTGATACAATTTCCTTCTTTTCAAGTCAAGCCCGGATAATTTGATAGCAGGGGTGCTCCAATTTGTGACCATCATAGTCTTCTGCAACCTCGGCGATATTAGCACCTATACTCAGTGGTGCGACTGAATCATCACTTCACTGATGACTAAGCTTTTGAGATGCTCAAAAGTGCAGTTGCAGCTGCAACCGACCAAAGAACTCAGTGTCCACAATGTCCTCGGTGTCAGGTTGGGCACGAAATGGCCGCCCCAGACTTGACTCAGAGCCACAGGCAGGAACCTGTGGCCTGTGGCCTTTTGTGGCCTAGTGATTGGTTTCTGGTGAACATTTGTTGGCTCGGAATGATGTGATGAATCCACTACACTTGATCCAAGAGAACAGGTTTCTTGGAGGCAGGCTCGTTGCCTTCATTGCCAGTGGATAATTTTTGAACCAATATGATATTCATGCAATATTCATGGATATTCAACAGGACAGTTTCCAGAGCGTTGAGCGTTTCGTTTTGCTTCCAGGTATCACGTACCGTCAGCCATTCTTCTCAAGTTGTCTACAGCGAGTCTTGGTGAAGTCATGGAGAAGCCCCAAAGGGCTCAAAAGGTCTCAAAAGCGTTTGGATAAAGTTTTGAAGGTCTTGCAGGTCTTGAAGGTCTTGAAACACTTTTGCGAAGCACCAAGCGAAGCACCTCTTTGCAGCCGAAGTTTTGATCAACTTTTGAAATCGAATCTGGAAATCCTCACAAAAGATCAGTTCCAATACCCCTTCCAGAGGCTGCGATTGGCCGCTGAAACAGCCTGCGCCTAAAATCCTAAAACCAACCAAGGACAACACGGCTTTGTGGGACCTCCTCACAAAGTCCGCTTTGATTCTGGATGGCGTGGATGATGCCAGAGCGTTGATGGAGTATCGACATAGGAGAGCTACGGCAGTTACGGCAGTTACGGTGGTGCGTTGCATGTCATCAGCAGCTTTTAAGGGTCCTCCAGGTCCCCCATCCCCAGCTCTGTGGTCCAGGTCCCCCATCCCCTGCGGTCCCTCCAGATTCGTGATTCAACGCAATCAACGCAATCCCTACGACCACGGGAGGGCTGTAAGGCAACTTCACCGCTGTGCACAGCAGGAATCTGCAATGGCGGACGGGCCTGGCCAGCGGAGCACAGGGCGAGGCCCTGCAACAGAGAGCCGAAATGGTGAAGTCCCGGATTTTTTCCGGTTGGTTTTAAGATGTTTTAAGCCATGGCCATGGCACTCGGGTTGATGTCTGTTCCTTTGGACCTTTTCGGCGATTCTGAAAGCTTGTCAAGAACAATACGGCCTGCCATCGAAATGTGGTGATGACCTTTCAAAATGGAACTATGATGTGGATCTCGGGCATTGAAACAACCACGGGAGCAAAGGTGTCAGGGTGAAGATTGGGAAGGGTGACTGATTAGTAGTGGAATTAGTTGAATAGTTCGGAATAGTTCGGAATAGTAGTGGATTCCGAACTGGAGCTTCAGCCAGGTGACCATGGCGGACCAACCGCCCAAAGGTTTCGTCCGCTGCTCCTCATGGCCCACCATCAAAGCCCCTGAACCAGACAGGTGCCGTAGCACCGTAGCGCCATAACTTCTGTTGGGGTCGAATGGGGAGAGGGGATGGCGACTCTGGTCATCTCTGTGTTGTTTCCACTGACTACTTTTTGATTGTTGAGATTTCAGGATTTTGATGAGTTTTCAAAAATCTAAGTGCTGGGCATGAAGCAAGGATCGGGTTTGGTGACAAGACATAATAAGATAATAGCATATAATTTATATTAATAGCTCTTTTCCGCACAGCCTCGAAGCTCGAACCCTGATCCCGGTCCTCTCAGGAGGATATGGATGTTGAGCGTGGAGGTGGAAAAAGACCTGAAGGTGCCTTGGCTCAGTTGGGACGTAGATGCTGCAGATACGCAGATATTTCCACCCTTTTTCTTTGCTTGCTAATGTAAGAAGAGCGCATAGGATGCCGCAACTTGGGACGACGATAAGAGGTCAACCATCCCAGAAGTGGATCATGGAATCATATCGTTAATGAGGCCACTGGAGAAGGCAATTCCTTGTAATACCCAGCCATTTTGACGCATGGTTTGAATCAACGCCTTCGCTGGTGATGAGAAAGAACACGTGGAGGTTTCCCACAGGTTGGAAGGTTTGTTCATCGCAAAGATTTGTTTATAGATTGAAGTGCCCCCGTATCCAGTTGAGGACAGCGTTCATGACCCCAGTTCAAATATGTTCAGATTCAGCTAGACACACTGTCTTTATCAATTGGTGTATGGCAGCTGCTACTCCAAAGATGTTTCAAAGATGGGAAACTTGGAAAGTCGCTCCTAGCGCAGGCAAAAGCGCCCAAGATTTGGAATCGATTGCAAACGCATCTTGGTCAAGCCATCCAATATTTGGTGCTGATGTTGGTGGTTCCCTGGCCGCAGTGAAGGTCGGATCCCAGGCCGGAACAAGCAGATGTTTTACGATCATTTTCGTCTTTATTGGTCCTTTGAATTGAATTCTGTCCGTGAAACCGTGAAATTGTTTGGACATGTTCACACTGTGATTTCGCGAGACGATTCTCTCAACCCAGGTGGCCACCTACGCAGCTTGTCCATTGACTGTGTCCTGGGCAAAGGTGGTCGGTCATGGCGAGGAGCTGCCACCATTGTGACATCGTTCAATCTTGATTAATTGATTAATCTTGATTTCAAAAGAGACAGCAAGAGACAGCCCCATGCCAGATGAATCCATATGAATCTAGGGATGCATGCGTCTTTTGAGATGCTTTGGGACAATTTAGGACATCGTGATATCGTCCATCAGTTCACCACACAAGTGACCCACTTGTCTTGTCCGAAGGATGGCTTGCCCATCAAAGGCCGGCCGTTCAAGGAAGGCTCTGTCATTGTTGTGCCCTGGTTGCCAGTCGTTATGTCACAGGTTGAAGTTTCGAAAATTAGATTTCCAAGGCAATCGTTCCTGGGTCGAATGGCCACGTGCAAACAAGCAAAAGCTGACGCTCTGCAATCAGTTTGGAGACCGTTGCGATTTTAGGCCTGGTGACACTGTGGCCTGTGGCCCACACTTTGACGATCTGAAATCTTTGGTTTCCAAGTTAACCACTGAAAGTGGAGGCAATGATAGAAACTCCTTTGATTTTCTGATGAAAATTCAGAAGTGCATCTCTGCTTCTACCCGTCAGTAACCGGTATAACTACGGTATACAGTATAACCGTATAGTTCGGCACTTGACAACTTCATCCGCAGTTAATTCATCCTGATCGCTCCTGATCCCCTCACCTGCCTCACCTGCACCTGGCCAAGGCCTCTTGGCTCCTCATTTGTTGTGTGGGCCTCTCCCTCTCTTTTGCTTCGGGCGGATTGAAACATGTGAGGCCCGGTGTTTTGATTTCAACGTGGAAAAGAGAAGAAACATGTGTTGACAACTTTTCTAAAGTGTTTGATTCACTGTTTGAGTCTGTTTGGGTCACTTTGTTTCAATATTTATTCTGGGAAATAACGCAACACGTGCGGCAGGCAGTGCTTCGACCTGAAGCACATCATCGTCTTCGCTCCTGCGGGCATTGGTTGGGCCATGGCAGATGTGTGCGAGGTCTTGGCTGTGGCCAGGATCGACCCGGCGACCTACGGCGTGTTGTCACAGGCGCAGGGCGCGCAGGGCATATGGCGGCGCAGGGTGCTTAAATGATTGCAAATGTGCCCAGAGAAATGGAACTGAAATGGAACTGAATTGGATGTTGAATGATGTTGATAGTCTGGTAAGAAAATGTAAGAAAGAAAAAGAACGGACCCAGGATCCGTGATTCTGGAGTGAAGAATCTTGAAGTGATGTGGTGGACAGGTGCGGAAAGGATGAATGACAACAAGTGACTGTTGGTAAGACATGATGGACGGTGATCGACGATGAGTTATGGGACAAGTTTTGTGCCCACTGTAGTCCTATTACTTTCTAGGTTTGCAAATCAAAGTGGAAAGCCAAATCTATGAGTTCCCATTGAGCAGACAGAACTGGACACAATCTGGCTCCAATTGTGCAGAGATCATGGTTTGAAATCAGTCTTGTGGAAGTTCAAAGACATCAGAGCCAGATATCCAAAGGGATCCAAAGTGATTCACAGTCCACAAAGAGACATGCAAATTGTGTGACACTGATATATGGATGCATCTCCCAGGGGCGTTTGCTCTCCAGTGCAGCCGCCGGATGGATGATTTGTGGCGCTTGGCAGACGGGCTTGCAGTGGGGAAACTTGTCTCAACTTGGAATGACTTGAGGAACTGAAGCAGAGGTCGCACGGTCGCATGGTCGCACGGCCTAAAATGACTGAAGTGAAGTCGTTGGTTTGTGGGACTTCAGTTCTTGCATTCCGGGACGAGTGATTTGTGTTGTCTTTTCGGTCCAGTGTAGCTTGCTGGAGCTTTCTATGTGGGGTCAAGAGTCAAGATCATGGCTTGGAACCGCTGCAAGAGCTGAAAGTCGCAAAGTAGAAATGTTTGAATCTCCGGCTGAAATGGCTGAGGAATCTTGGCGTGTTTATCTTTGATTTGCATGGCATACTGATTCTCGGCTGAAGATGTGACCTGACCATACGTGACCAATGCATCGCCTGATCGTCTCTACAGTATTGTATGCAGTATTGTAAAATATTGTATAATATTGTATACATATAGATTAGCACAGATGCGTACTCACAGTCAAAAGTATTCAAAGAAGTACCAACGCTCTCAAAAGTTCCATTGGGACCTGACATTTTGCTTGGAGGAAATAGGCCAAGGGCATCAATTCTACGCGGATTGCTTAGCGCGCTGCCCCGAGGCATGGTACCGGATGATTCGCGACCCAACTCAGAGCGTCTGTTTGAGTGGCGCTTGCGGCAGGCCAGAAGGGCCTTAACATGCCTTAAGCCGCAAAACTAGCATAAAAACCATCACAGATCCTTCAAAAGGAAAGTGGTGTGGGTTCTTTTGATAAAAGATTGTTTGTTTGAAGACGGGCAGCAAGATGCGGTTGGTACAGAATCTGCACATTGGCAAATGGTAGCATGCAAAGAATTGGATCTAGTTCTTTGGCTGCAGCAGGCTTGAAATCAGGTCTTCAACGCAGATTGGTGACCAACAAGCCTTCACTTGTTGCAACTGGGAAGTGCTACAGTGCCACAGAGTGCCACGTCTCTGTTTTGTAATAAACGGCGCAGGATACGTGGCTGACCGTGGATCGCTTTCATACACCGGAACCAGAGGAGCCGTTGGAACAAATCGGGAGCTCCGCCGGGGCCGAAGAGATGCGTCATCTACGTCAAGCATCGAATGAAATGCGGACGCTTCCCTGTCCGATGTAGCGTCATGTAGCGTCACAACATCTCGGTTTGATGAACCAGTCTTCGACTCACAGTGATCCCATAAGTTTGCCAAAGAGCTTCTCTCAAACGAATCTCAGGTGAAGAGTCATGGTGTGTATGGTGTATATGTGGCGTATATGGTGCAGTGACTGTGTAGTGTCATCTCGTGTCTCAAGAAACCACGAAATGACGGGAAAACGGGATTTCTTTGGAGGAGCACCTCCTAGGAGGCATTTTTGCGTTGACGAAGGTGGGGATAGCCAGATCGCGCCCAATGAGACAAATTGCACCAATCTGTAAAGAATCTATCAAATCATCAGGATGGGTCACCATTTCATTGAATCCATCAGCCCATCATGTGAGCTCATGTCAACTACCTGAATCATTTTTGTATTTCCTGTTGATATTTTTCTGGTAAGCCATGTCGAAGACAACGAGGATGATTTCACGGGGTCGCCACAGGTGACACTGTCAGTGCTTTGTAGCGCCGCTGGGCTGTTGACAGAGTGGGTGATTGGGATGTGATTGGATGTGATTGGGATGGCAATATGGCAATATGGTAATATGGTAATATGTGTGATTGGTGTTCTGCTGTTCTGCATATGTTCCTTTTTGGTGCCATGAACCCATGTCCTGTGGGATGATGCGAACTACGAGGCAAAGGAATGATGACAATCAGGTCGATTCTAGAATGGACAATAGTCCACGCGAAATCTCAGCACAGAAGGCCAAGGAAAAACAATTTGAGACTTTGAAGTTCACTTATGTAGACTTATATGTTCCCTTGTACGATTACATGTTCACTTATATGTTCACTTAAATATTCACTTGGAGTTAAAGCTGTTGAACTGTTGACACAGGCAGATTGCCCGACTGCCCGAGGTCTATGTTGAGACCTGCTTCAAATCCAGTGGAGCTCAGCCTATGAGATTGCACGTGCAGATGACGCAGGCGGCACAAGGGGTCGCATGAGTACCATTTTTGGGTCATATGGCCAACCCAAAGTCTGAACGATTCAGAGAGGAGAACACGGATGTTTTTTTCATGCAAATCAGGCAAGCTGCTACATGCTGCTTTGAAGAAAACATGGATATCGCACAGAAGAGAATTTGGAGAGCCACGGGGTACATTTTGCAGAAGCCAAAGAGTTTACAAAGTCGCAGGACACTTGTTACAGAGCCCACTATTGGGATGTGTTAGTTGAAGTTTGGATATTGGACAGCTTCGAATCATGCTCCCACAGACACTGTACAAAGCAGCGCTTGCAGGTGTCCTTCAGCAGCATTATCGCAGCATCGACAGGATATCTCCTGATTTGCCTCTTGCGGCACGAAGATCCAACCCATTTCTTTAGCTCCTCGGTCTGAGAAAAGTTCTGCGAATGCGACGCTTCAATCAGCACAACGCATCATTATTTGGAGGATAAACCTTGGGGGCAAGGGGAACAACGGAACAAACTGATCCTGCATTTTAAACAAGTAAGTGACTGTAAGTGGACTAATTAATCACTTAGGAGCAAGGAGCCATGATCAGCAGTGGATATGTAGTGACAAGCCGCACTTGTGAACACGATGCAGAAGCTGTTTCCAAACGCTCGTTCTTATCAGCAAGACTCATCATTCCTAGGTAAGTTTCGTTACAATTCCGGAGTTTAAGAGCATCATGTCAAGTTTGGTGAAACGTTGAAACATAAACCGTATGCCGCATGCCCATCATCCAAGTCTGCAAAGTAGATCTTGGCTTTCAGTTTTACAGGCTCAAGGAAGTGGATTTTTGCATATTAAAGTTTGCATTGTGGAGACACATTGATCATCATTGATCATCATTGATGATCATTGATAATCATTGATGATCATTGATGATCATTGATGCACATTGGCACTTTTTCCCGAATGCGTAGCGAAGGGTTCCCGTTTATAGTTGGGGGTCTGGGGGTTGGACCTTTGTTCGCTGCCAGTTGGTCGGCGCGTCGTTTTCGCGTCGTTTTCGCGTCGTTTTTCGCGTCGTTAATTCGGTGTCTATAGGGGAAGCTGCAAAACCTCGCGTTTTTTGCAACGTAGATGTCGCAGTGTCTATAGGGGAAGCTGCAAAACCTTTTGTTTTTTGCAACGTAGATGTCGCAGTGTCTATAGGGGAAGCTGCAAAACCTCGTGTTTTCTGCTGCGTAGATGTCGCAGTGTCTATAGGGGAAGCTGCAACACCTCGTGTTTTTTGCGACGTAGATGTCGCAGTGTCTATAGGGGAAGCTGCAAAACCTCGTGTTTTTTGCAACGTAGATGTCGCAGTCTCTATAGGGGAAGGTGCAAAACCTCGTGTTTTCTGCTGCGTAGATGTCGCAGTGTCTATAGGGGAAGCTGCAACACCTCGCGTTTTTTGCGACGTAGATGTCGCAGTGTCTATAGGGGAAGCTGCAAAACCTCGTGTCTTTTGCTGCTTGGATGTCGCAGTGTCTATAGGGGAAGCTGCAACACCTCGTGTTTTTTGCGACGTAGCTGTCGCAGTGTCTATAGGGGAAGCTGCAACAGCTCGTGTCTTTTGCTGCGTCGATGTCGCAGGGTCTATAGGGGAAGCTGCAACACCTCGTGTTTTTTGCGACGTAGATGTCGCAGTGTCTATAGGGGAAGCTGCAAAACCTCGTGTTTTCTGCTGCGTAGATGTCGCCGTGTCTATAGGGGAAGCTGCAAAACCTCGTGTTTTTTGCAACGTAGCTGTCGCAGTGTCTATAGGGGAAGCTGCAAAACCTCGTGTTTTTTGCGACGTAGCTGTCGCAGTGTCTATAGGGGAAGCTGCAAAACCTTTTGTTTTTTGCAACGTAGATGTCGCAGTGTCTATAAGGGAAGCTGCAAAACCTCGTGTTTTCTGCTGCGTAGATGTCGCAGTGTCTATAGGGGAAGCTGCAAAACTTCGTGTTGTTTGCGACGTAGCTGTCGCAGTGTCTATAGGGGAAGCTGCAAAACCTCGTGTTTTCTGCTGCGTAGATGTCGCAGTGTCTATAGGGGAAGCTGCAACACCTCGTGTTTTTTGCGACGTAGATGTCGCAGTGTCTATAGGGGAAGCTGCAAAACCTCGTGTCTTTTGCTGCTTGGATGTCGCAGTGTCTATAGGGGAAGCTGCAACACCTCGTGTTTTTTGCGACGTCGATGTCGCCGTGTCTATATACGGGAAGCTGCAACAGCTCGTGTCTTTTGCTGCGTCGATGTCGCAGGGTCTATAGGGGAAGCTGCAAAACCTCGTGTTTTTTGCGACGTAGATGTCGCAGTGTCTATAGAAAAAGCTGCAAAACCTCGTGTCTTTTGCTGGGTGGATGTTGACATGTTTATAGGGGAAGCTGCAATTTTGCTACGTGGATGTCGCTGTGTCTATAGGGGAAGGTGCAAAACCTCGTGTCTTTTGCTGCGTGGATGTCGCCGTGTCTATAGGGGAAGCTGCAAAACCTCGTGTCTTTTGCTGCGTGGATGTCGCCGTGTCTATAGGGGAAGCTGCAAAACCACGTGTCTTTTGCTGCGTGGATGTCGCCGTGTCTATAGGGGAA